TGTGTATTATTTTAAATAAATTTCTTGTACATAAACAGGCATAAAATGGACATATTTAATTTTGAAAGTATCGTGAGTCCAATGGTTGAAATGAGATATATGTAGAAGGTTTTAAATTTTAATGTTTTTAAAAAGATGTGTGCCAAAGACAATTTGCAATTTACATATGTGTTCTAAAATGTATTAAAATGTTCAGATTACATAAAACTTTTATTAGAAACTTGAATGGAATATACCACAATTCTCTAATTTATAATTTTCTCTTAAAAATTAGAATAGTTATCCTTAAACCCATTGTTTGGAAATTAACAGTTCATACATACATATGTATATAAATATCATTTTACTTATTAAAAAATCCATCATTTAACATCGATGTTTATTACATTGGAAAATGATGAATGAATAACAGCGCTTTTGGGGCTTTAATATTGTTCTCAGCAGAGTTATTGTCGGGAACTAATAAAATACTTTCCTCATTGGCGTTATCATCCAATTTAATTTCTTCTCTTGGGTCATCAAAATTCCAATAAAATAAATTAATAACACTAAATAATTGTTGATTTGTAAATATACATGCAGTAAATTGTGTGTATAGGATTTTTAAAAATACAAAACACTTGTAATAAATACAAAAAACTTCAAAATTACTGAGCTTAAGGTGAATGATACCGAAATAATAAAATAAAAACATAATAAAAACTTCATTCGTACGTAAATAAAACCAAAATTCCTATAAAAAATGCGTTATTCGTACTATCGAACAGAAAAATTGTGACTTTATTCGTACTATAGAGTAGACAATGCAACAGTTTTGCCATTCGTATTATTGGATATTCGTAATAAAGAGTATACGTACTATTGGACGTCCACTGTAATGTACTTTTAATTCTATAATTCAATTTTAGAAAAATTAGTATAATGCTTAAATATAATAAAGGGACAGTTTGTCTAATTAGCAACATTTAAATGGTAATTATGAATTTTTTTAGATTGGTGTCATCTCTCTATCGTTAATGTTTAAATTTTGTTGATTTTTATTAGCAATATCCTCGAAACCCCAAAGTATATGAGAAAATGCTGTTGTAATTGATTAATCATTTGTCGAAACTCGCAAAAAAATTTTTGGATTTCTTTATTTTACATAATTGACGTATAAGTGGAAATTCGAGATTATTCTTACACTAAAAATAATCCATGCCTTATGTTACGAAATAGCATTTTTAGGAAAATTTACTTTCGTTAAATATCACATGTCGAAAGGGTTTTATTAAATAATATTTTATATTATACACGAAATTTTCGTAAATATTACGACAAAATTAGATACGAATTTTTTTCGTAAAATTAAGCATGGATTATTTTCAGTGTAGTTATGAGCTTTTCTCATCTTTTTAAGTCGGGCGTTAGTTAGTTAGTTAGTAAGTTAGTTAGTTAGTTAGTTTGTTAGTTAGTTAGTTAGTTAGTTAGTTAGTTAGTTAGTTAGTTAGTTAGTTAGTTAGTTAGTTAGTAGTTAGTTAGTAGTTAGTTAGTTAGTTAGTTAGTTAGTTAGTTAGTTAGTTAGTTAGTTAGTTAGTTAGTTAGTTAGTTAGTTAGTTAGTTAGTTAGTTAGTTAGTTAGTTAGTTAGTTAGTTAGTTAGTTAGTTAGTTAGTTAGTAGTTAGTTAGTTAGTTAGTTAGTTAGTTAGTTAGTTAGTTAGTTAGTTAGTTAGTTAGTTAGTTAGTTAGTTAGTTAGTTAGTTAGTTAGTTCGTAGTTAGTTAGTTAGTTAGTTAGTAGTAGTTAGTTAGTTAGTTAGTTAGTTAGTTAGTTAGTTAGTTAGTTAGTTAGTTAGTTAGTTAGTTAGTTAGTTAGTTAGTTAGTTAGTTAGTTAGTTAGTAGTTAGTTAGTTAGTTAGTTAGTTAGTTAGTTAGTTAGTTAGTTAGTAGTAGTTAGTTAGTTAGTTAGTTAGTTAGTTAGTTAGTTAGTTAGTAGTTAGTTAGTTAGTTAGTTAGTTAGTTAGTTAGTTAGTTAGTTAGTTAGTTAGTTAGTTAGTTAGTTAGTTAGTTAGTTAGTTAGTTAGTTAGTAGTAGTTAGTTAGTTAGTTATAGTTAGTTAGTTGTAGTTAGTTAGTTAGTTAGTTAGTTAGTTAGTTAGTTAGTTAGTTAGTTAGTTTGTTTGGAGCAATGTTATACCAGATATTACATCCCTAAGAAACACATATTATTAAGAATTACGTATAGGAAACTGAATTTTGAACATCAGACAACAATATATCGAGCCCGTTTCGCACAAAAGACGTAACCGACAAAAACTAAATTTTACAGGAGAGCATTTTTTTTAATTATCCTCGAAGTAGGACATAGCATTACTCCAAAACTCCATTAATAAATATTATTACATTAAAAATATGGGATGCAGTTTGTTTCGATTTTATATTGACGCTATATCCGATTTTTTTGTCGCTTACGTCTTTTTTGCCGAGACAAATTTTTGTGATATAAACAATGTTGAGGCGGTTACGTCTGAATTCTCTGTCTAAAAAAATCTTTTTTGGTGTATATCTTTATATAATTTGTATAAATCTGAAATTTAAGAGTGTAATAAATATTTTTTTTAAGATTTTAAGATCATCTAGGGATGTCTGTATGTCAGTCTTTTTGTTGAAAACCGGATAGGTTCCGAACGTTATGAGCTAGAGTGATGAAATTCTCCAAAAATGCTTATTAATGACAAATATTGTTTTGTGTTAATAATGGGCAAGATCGGTTCTTGATTTCACTTAGCCCCCATACAAGTACCTCCCGGATTATAGTTATAACATTAATACATATGTTGTTTATGTAGCAATCGCTATAAAATTTTGCAGAAGTCGGTTATATATACCTGTAAATTATGTTGGGAAGTATGACAGATGTCAGGCAATATTTAACCCTAGCCTGCATATATGGACCGTGTAAGACAATGATTTTATGACCATAGCAGTCTTAAAAATATCTGTATAGCAACGAAATTTGATGTATGATGATGTTTTAGGATGGTTTCCTATGCCCCTCATACATAAAATAAGTTTACAGTTAATAAATCTTTCAAAAATTAAGAAAATATGAAATTCTACAAAAAAAATTTGTTTTCTAAACTAATCACGCGTTTAAATTCTATAGACCTTGGTCCACAATTGACCTAATCCCTCATTAAAGGCCGTATTCTGAAAATCACCCTGATGTCTACAGTAATATCCATACAATTCGCCTTATATCGAATAAATAAGTATATTCTGGGACTATTGATTCATTAAGAGTCCATATACAGGTCCGCCTTCCGAAATCTACAATCAAATATAAGAGTTGGTTAAATGGTAATAATATAAATGCAATGTAATTAGTAATTAGAATGAACTATATTCATAAAAAGTTATAGAAAATTATAAATTTTAGCACATAAATTGCAATGGCATAGTGATAATTACATGAATTTATTACAATTATACTCAGATATGTGGCATTTCATTCAGAAGCAAATTTAATACGTTAATTTGTTCAAAATTTTTCTATAAATGTAATATATTTTAAAAGAAAATTTAAACGTAACCGACACTTTGCTGTTACAAAATTCATAAACAGAAAATTAATGTGTACTTATGTCTTTTTTCCTTTTCTTGTAAAGTTGAAACCATTGGATCTATAGCTACGAAATTTTTAGAGATGATGCTAATGGACCTAAATATCTCGATATGTAATTTATTTATACAACATGTTTCAAAGCAATACTTTATCGAATCCAAAGAAAAACTATTTTTAATTTGACAATTCTAAAAATGATATTTTTCTTTATTTTAATTTTTTTAATGTATCTTAAATATACTATGTAAGTACGTCGTTCCAAATTTAAAGTACTTTTTTACTTAAATTTAAAGTACTTGATTAAAAACTAGAATGCAATTTTCAAACTATTCTTTATTATGTCAATTGCTCTCTATAATATTCAGCAACTGACAAGTCAATTAAGATTCAATTGTTATCGATAATTGACCCATAATTTTCTATAATTATTGTTATTTCTAGGCTTTTCCGATTAACTTTAACTAAAAGTTTAAAATAAATATATTTTATTATTAAAGTAAAGTAACCTCAAGTTTCCGCTTTTAGCCTTCACCCTTAAATATATATACATTATAAACTACGAACTACACTCTGTTCTTATTCATATAAATCTTTTATAATTTATACACTTAATTTTAAATGGCCAGTGAACAGCAGGCAGACTTTAATAACATTTGTCTATAGGAAATATATGTAAATGTTTGGTTTGTTTTTGTTGTTTCTTCACTTTACATTCCTTATAGAAGAATGAAAAGTGAAGGCTATTAAATGGTCTTTATTTTTCTGTTAAATGACTATAAAATTGCATACGAATAATAAGTATATACAATGTCAAGAGCACATGAATACGAGTATGACATAAAAAAGTCATGTTTAACATTTCAATAATTAATTAGGAAAATAAAGGAAAAGTGAAACTAATAAGTAACAAGTAAGAAAGTATATTCGGGCTTGACCGATCAAATGATATCCTACAACAGCTGTTGAATTTTGTTCTTTTGTATGGGAGCTAAGGGAAATAATGAACCAATCCAAAATCAATAGGGTTTGTCCTTGGGTCAAAAGTATCTTCAAAATGTGACCTGTAGTTTGATTACAAGGTACATGGACAAACAGACAGACGGACATACATATATGCCTTAATCAACTTAGAAAATGAGTCTGAGCTGATTAGTATACTTTAAGGTGGGTATAGGCCCATTAATTTTATGCGTTACAAACTTCAGCACAAATCCAATATACCCACTAAAGTGGTGTAAAATATATGGACTACCAGATGTATGGTGGCTATATGTATGAATTTGTTAGAACAATTGTTTAATACCGGATTTTTTTCATATAGATATACATATTCAAGCGATTTATTTAATTTATACTCATAAATTAATTCATAATTTCTCCCTTGATTTCTTTCAGTTAATTTGCACATATCGTCACATTATAAAGTTCGAAAAAATAATGCAAAATATTTGACCACAATCTGACACACCATTATGTGTGTGAACCGACGTCCTTGTTAAAGCAATTAAAAAAACAACAACTTTAGCGAAATGACACGAGACGGTGAAATACCAGCAATTTTTAATCCAAAACAACATCGAGTTCGTACACCATCGGTGGTGGTCACCGGAGATTCTCCAAATGGTCCATACGGTGGTGGTGGTGGTTTTACAAATATTCTAAATACAAGCAATCCTCAAATAGCCCACCAAGATTCAATATCTTCAAGCCAAAATGATCCTAATGAAGTAATAACTATACATCCTGAATCAACCTGCCCTGTTGCATTAACTAGAGCTGTAAGCGTGGCGGGAGGGGGAGGCGGTGTTGGTGCGGCAGGTGGTGGTGGTGGTAACACCAGCGGTGGCAATGATTCCGATACACCCACAGACCCTGGTCAAAATGATAATACCACATCACGTTTCCCCCGCCTTAAAGCCTGCAAAGAAACCTGTTGTTCTGAATTGGCACAAAAAATGTATTTTGGTGTATGTGTTACTATACTAGTGACAGCATCATGGGTTGGTGCCACACACTGCATTAAGTTATTGTATTTAAATCGCAGCTCCTACATATCGGCCCTAGATGATTTCGATACATTGGCTGTGAGCGGTAATGACTTGAATTTGGTCAACAATGATGATGCCGTTGCATTAGATTCTCTTATACCCATTAGTGATACATCGATTAGTGTAACCGATGTAGAGGATGCAACGAAAATATTCCATGTGCCACCAGATCCACCCATGCCATCAAATATATTTAGTGCACCTTTTTTTGCCGCTTGGTTTTTTACAAATTTCTCTTTGTTATTCTTTCCCATCTATATTTTGGGACGAGTTTCTCTGAGAAAATGTGATAAGCCAGGCGAAATATTAGGTGATGTGTTGAGAGGTTTTCGTGATCGAGGATTTACTGTGGGTAAGTAATAGGATAAATGTATAAATTTAAATATTAGGAAATAAAATTTTAAGAAATCCGAAATTTTGATATTTTTGTGATTTTTATTATTTTAAAGAATTTTATTTAAATTTAAAAATATTTTAATTTGGGATGTTAATATTCTTGAAGTGATATTTTATTAGAATTGGGATTTATTTTGGTTGAAAATATTTTGATGAAACTGCTAGGTAGAGGTTTATTTAAGTTAGACTTTTCCCTATCATATTAATAGCTTCGTTTGCTTTCAGTTGTTCTTCAACTATGAATCTTGCCCAGCATAGTAGTTATTGTAGTTTAAGATCAAATATTATATTATACATGATATTTCACAGCAAGGGTCCTGGCACATATACATGGGTACCACCTGGTTCACAAAGGATTGGAATCTGCTTCTTTACATAGCTACTTAAAGCTAATATATTTACTTGCCTAATGAAATAATTATCTCATTGCTATATGGTTGGGACGAGATATACTTCCTTTGAAGTGTCTTCAGGCCCCCAAGCATTTATTATTCAATGGTACTATGGTGTCATTCCACCAGTAGTTTATCCCTTTTGTTTTTCCTAAATACCAAACCTACACATTTTTGTTGACTAGTGGGATCGAACTTTTCCTTTGTCCAAGTTCAGGGTCCCTTGGTTTTATTTTAAAATAAATCACTTAATAGACGGTATGCGTATAATATTCACTGACCTGGCATTATATTACTCTGGCTAAGGTTGAGCAAACAAGCTCGCTCGGGTTTATCCGTTCGAAGCTCGAATGGTATATCCGTTATTTGCCAAGGCCACACCCAGTTTTGAATGGTCATCGAATGCTAAATGTTCCGCCAACTGTTACTCTAGATATTCATTTGGCGGTTTCATTCCTTCTTGTATGGTTTTGTTTCAACAACCCTATATTGTAGATCTCTATCTATCTATCTATCTATCTATCTATCTATCTATCTATCTATCTATCTATCTATCTATCTATCTATCTATCTATCTATCTATCTATCTATCTATCTATCTATCTATCTATCTATCTATCTATCTATCTATCTATCTATCTATCTATCTATCTATCTATCTATCTATCTATCTATCTATCTATCTATCTATCTATCTATCTATCTATCTATCTATCTATCTATCTATCTATTATCTATCTATCTATCTATCTATCTATCTATCTATCTATCTATCTATCAATCTATCTATCTATCTATCTATCTATCTATCCGGAATAGGAGAAATGCAATTTGTAGACTTTGCCCAATTATAACAAAACCGCGCAATTTTCACCAAATATATATATATTTGTAGAAGTCTGCTGGGACAAGTTATTTTCAACTAGGTCGAGTACAGAAAACAAATACTTGTAACAGCATAAAGTAAATAAGTATTTACAGTATTTATTATTATACATATTTTCTTTCTTATTTTATTTTATTCTATATCTACCCGGGGACCTGTAAATATTTGCTTGTATTTCCGTGTATATGTACATGTGCGTAAAAATCTACATAACTATTTATAATAATATCAACAGGACGTTTTCTCAATCGTTGCCTATCATTTTGTATACTATGGCTTTTAACCACTTACCTTTATACGTTATCTCTGCGTGTCTTATTTGCCACCGATGCCATGGCATTGTTTGCCACCAATGTGGCATGTGTTTACCTTTTATCCTGGGTTATATTGCACGAACAATTTGTAGGAGTGCGGGTAAGTAGTGATGAGAAGAAAAAAATTAAATTATGCCATTAAAAACAGAACATTTTCCCACTCAGTGTTATATCTATTTTAACATTCATGTTTACTTATTTTTTGTTTCTTTACTCTTTGTGCCAGATTGTTGCTGTCATATTGTGTGATACTGGCATTGCACTGTTGGCTTATATGGATGGCATTACGGAAAGTCGTACATTGAGTGGCGTGGTTTTGGCCACTTTGGCAGCAGCTTGTTATGCAGTGTTTCGAGTATGTTGTTGACATTTTAACACCTGTGTGATGTTATTATTGTTTTGTTTGTTGTAAAAATGTTTTTAATTATTTCCTTTATTACATTTTTAATCAAGGTTATGTTCCGCAAAGTGATGGGTGATCCGCCTGTTGGACAAATTGCTTTTGCTTTTACTACATTAGGTTTTCTAAATGCTCTACTCATGTGGCCAATATGTGTGGCTTTATATTTGACTGGCACTGAAATAATGCCATCAGATCGTATGCCTTGGATTATATTATTGATTGCTAGTATATTGTTATTGGGTGAGTACTTACATGATGCACGGGTGATTATTAATTTACTCTTAAAAATAGATTGACACACCTGCCAATTAATTAAAAATAATCTTGTTTGTGGTTATACTATTTTTGATTATACTATTTAAATATTATTTATATTATTTGGAAAATTAAACGAATTTACATTGCATATAAGACAAAAAACTGTACTCTCTGTATAACGAATTTTAAAACATATTTTCGCTTAAAATATTTTAAAGTAATATTTTTAAAAAGTTCAGTTCTAGTTCAGTTTTATTTCTATTTCAGTTTTAGTTCAAATTCAGTTCTAGTTCAGTTTTGTTTCTATTTATGCTCTAGTTCAGTTCTAGTTCAGTTCTAGTTCAGTTCTAGTTCAGTTCTAGTTCAGTTCTAGTTCAGTTTTAGTTCAGTTCTAGTTCAGTTCTAGTTCAGTTCTAGTTCAGTTCTAGTTCAGTTCTAGTTCAGTTCTAGTTCAGTTCTAGTTCAGTTCTAGTTCAGTTCTAGTTCAGTTCTAGTTCAGTTCTAGTTCAGTTCTAGTTCAGTTCTAGTTCAGTTCTAGTTCAGTTCTAGTTCAGTTCTAGTTCAGTTCTAGTTCAGTTCTAGTTCAGTTCTAGTTCAGTTCTAGTTCAGTTCTAGTTCAGTTCTAGTTCAGTTCTAGTTCAGTTCAGTTCTAGTTTAGTTCTAGTTCAGTTCTAGTTCAGTTCTAGTTCAGTTCTAGTTCAGTTCTAGTTCAGTTCTAGTTCAGTTCTAGTTCAGTTCTAGTTCAGTTCTAGTTCAGTTCTAGTTCAGTTCTAGTTCAGTTCTAGTTCAGTTCTAGTTCAGTTCTAGTTCAGTTCTAGTTCAGTTCTAGTTCAGTTCTAGTTCAGTTCTAGTTCAGTTCTAGTTCAGTTCTAGTTCAGTTCTAGTTCAGTTCTAGTTCAGTTCTAGTTCAGTTCTAGTTCAGTTCTAGTTCAGTTCTAGTTCAGTTCTAGTTCAGTTCTAGTTCAGTTCTAGTTCAGTTCTAGTTCAGTTCTAGTTCAGTTCTAGTTCAGTTCTAGTTCAGTTCTAGTTCAGTTCTAGTTCAGTTCTAGTTCAGTTCTAGTTCAGTTCTAGTTCAGTTCTAGTTCAGTTCTAGTTCAGTTCTAGTTCAGTTCTAGTTCAGTTCTAGTTCAGTTCTAGTTCAGTTCTAGTTCAGTTCTAGTTCAGTTCTAGTTCAGTTCTAGTTCAGTTCTAGTTCAGTTCTAGTTCAGTTCTAGTTCAGTTCTAGTTCAGTTCTAGTTCAGTTCTAGTTCAGTTCTAGTTCAGTTCTAGTTCAGTTCTAGTTCAGTTCTAGTTTAGTTCTAGTTTAGTTCTAGTTCAGCTCTAGTTCAGTTCTACTTCCGTTCTAGTTCGGTTATAGTTCAGTTCTAGTTCAGTTCTAGTTCAGTTCTAGTTCAGTTCTAGTTCAGTTCTAGTTCAGTTCTAGTTCAGTTCTAGTTCAGTTCTAGTTCAGTTCTAGTTCAGTTCTAGTTCAGTTCTAGTTCAGTTCTAGTTCAGTTCTAGTTCAGTTCTAGTTCAGTTCTAGTTCAGTTCTAGTTCAGTTCTAGTTCAGTTCTAGTTGAGTTCTAGTATAGTTCTAGTTCAGTTCTAATTCAGTTCTAGTTCAGTTCTAGTTCAGTTATAGTTCAGTTCTAGTCCAGTTCTAGTTCAGTTCTAATTCAGTTCTAGTTCAGTTTTACTTCAGTTCTAGTCAAATTCTAGTTCAGTTCTAGTTTTGCTCATCCCAGCACTGGTGGGTCCTTGAGAACTGCATTTGAAACCTAAACTCGACAATACTTAATCTTAATGCATATGAATTGAATAACGTTTACGTTTATTTACTATTTTTACACAATATTTCAGTAGTTGTCGAAAAATAAGACAATTGTTAACATTCATATTTGTTAAATATTGTTTCATTGCTTTAATATTTAATCATTAATTTCCTTTCTCTTTCCATGTACTCCAGTTTTTCACATATTAATGCAATTTAGCTCAGCTGTTACATACAATATGTTTGTAACATTAGGTTTAATTACAGCAGTTCCTGTTTCAGGAGGTAAATGAAATATTAATTAACGCTGTAATATTATATTCTGTAAATACAAACATTTTTGCAACTGAAGTTATGTGTGTAATTAATAAATGTCTTTATTTTCTTAAATTAAAGCATTGGATGTTGTTTTATATGGTGCTACATTTGCTGGCATGAAATTGGCTGGTGTGATACTAATTGCAGTTGGTTTCTTTTTGGTAATGTTTCCTGAAAATTGGCCAGATTATATAACCAGATTATTAAGGTAAGTTTGTTTTTTTTTTATTATTACACTCAATTAAACTTCATTTATTTTATTATTTAACTATCATTATTACTTTTTTCTTAATATTATTATTATATAAATATATAGTAAATATATTTCCCTAATTAAAATTATTATATTTAAAAGTAAATATGCTAAACTATGTTTTTTATTAAATACTTATAGCTAAATAAAATTGTTAATGTTATTTAACTATTATTATGAATAACTACTTAAACAAACAAAAATTTTAAAATAATTAATTTCTTTTTTCGTTTTCTTTTACAAAATTTTTGTATTAATAATTTTTTTGTGGAAAACAACAAATTATAATTATAAATCAAACCCAAAAAACTAACTTCCTTTCAGAAAAAGTGGTCGTGCTATACTACGTTACCAATGTTGTTGTGAATTAGCTGAAATTCATTATACACACTCGGTAGGCGTTTTTAAATTAAACAGAAAAAATAACAAAAAAACACAAAAAAACTAACCTGAAATCAATAAACAATAAGCAGAATTAATACGTTTAATAAAACAGCTGTTTATTGTTAAATATTTTATACCGTTTATTAGTAGTTTAAATATAAAAAATATATATGAAAATGCTCTTAGTTTTCATAGTTATTATATGCAATGTACAGTGGGCTTAGAAAGTTTAAAATATTAAGTATTATGTATTATTTTAGAAATTGCAATTGTAAATCTAATTGAATTAAGCTACTAACTAACTACTAACTAACTAACTAACTAACTAACTACTAACTAACTAACTAACTACTAACTAACTAACTACTACTAACTAACTAACTAACTAACTAACTAACTAACTAACTAACTACTAACTAACTAACTAACTACTAACTAACTAACTAACTAACTAACTAACTAACTAACTAACTAACTAACTAACTAACTAACTAACTAACTAACTAACTAACTAACTAACTAACTAACTAACTAACTACTAACTACTAACTAACTAACTAACTACTAACTAACTAACTAACTAACTAACTAACTAACTAACTAACTAACTAACTAACTACTAACTAACTAACTAACTAACTAACTAACTAACTAACTAACTAACTAACTAACTAACTAACTAACTAACTAACTAACTAACTAACTAACTAACTAACTAACTAACTACTAACTAACTAACTAACTAACTAACTAACTAACTAACTAACTAACTAACTAACTAACTAACTAACTAACTAACTAACTAACTAACTAACTAACTAACTAACTAACTAACTAACTAACTAACTAACTAACTAACTACTAACTAACTAACTAACTAACTAACTAACTAACTAACTAACTAACTAACTAACTAACTAACTAACTAACTAACTAACTAACTAACTAACTAACTAACTAACTAACTAACTAACTAACTAACTAACTAACTAACTAACTAACTAACTAACTAACTAACTAACTAACTAACTAACTAACTAACTAACTAACTAACTAACTAACTAACTAACTAACTAACTAACTAACTACTAACTAACTAACTAACTAACTACTAACTAACTAACTAACTAACTAACTAAACTAACTAACTAACTAACTAACTAACTAACTAACTAACTAACTAACTAACTAACTAACTAACTAACTAACTAACTAACTAACTAACTAACTAACTAACTAACTAACTAACTAACTACTAACTAACTAACTAACTAACTAACTAACAAACAACAAACAAACAAACTAACTAACTAACTAACAAACTAACTAACTAACTAACTAACTAACTAACTAACTAACTAACTAACTAACTAACTAACTAACTAACTAACTAACTAATTAACTAACTAACTAACTAACTAACTAACTAACTAACTAACTAACTAACTAACATCTGATGTTGAGCTGTGATTGATTGATTCTTCCCAAATTTACATGGTATTTGTGTGCCCCGAAAGATCCAATCGGTACATCAGACAAATTTGGTTTGCTAATTTTGGATTTTATTTTGCGTGTCTTCTGTGACTGCCATTTGGTGCAATGTGATCCGTTGCATAATTACAGACAGAATTCCCATTTACCTTCGTTTATCGCCATTGTGTACTCCATGTTCCTGTCCCAAAGTATCTAGCAAGAGTTTTTACGATCATGATCATAATTTCACTTTGCAACCGGTGCTTAAAGTGATTGATGATGTTAAAAGGTCTGGAGTTCAACAAACTCCTACTTTACATATAGTCTGAGATGAATTTGGTTTTCAATAATTCGATTGTGCATTTTGGTTGGTTTTGGTCACATGATCAAATTACGATAATGTAGCTTTAAATACCAATAAAAACTAATAGTTTCCTTTTAATCTTTTTAAAACAATACATAATATTAATATTATTATAACTTACTCATAATTTTATTCTTTCTTAACCCACTGTGCTAAATACAATGCAATAAATGTCGTGCAGCAAATTAAGCAACAACAAAACTGCTTTGTTTTTACCAACACCAACTAATAGTAATAATTTAAAATAAATTCTTTAAACATTAAACAAACAAAACAAAAAAAAAAAAAGATTTTTACTGAACAACTAAACTGATCAATTGTTTAATTTTTTTAACGAAACATTTTAATTTGATTTTTTTTAGTTGTTAATTAATCGCTACTGTCGTTTCACTCTCTTTCTATCTAAAAAATAAACTTAAAAGTTAATTATATTAACAACAAAATCTACTGTTCTAAAAATACAATATAAATTAAACTATTTTAAATAAAGTTTAATTTATCTGTAGTCCTTATTGCCGTTATATTGTTCTTGAGTTAAAAAGGCTGTTGTAAGTTAATACTTTTTGCAAAAAAAAAATAAATAAATTTCAATAAAACAATACTGAATTGTTTTTTCTGCCTCTATCTCTCCGCTCTCTGTCTCTACTACTTATAAACACTTTGTAAATTCTCTTTTTTGTAAAGTTTTTGCTGTTGTTTGAAACAGTGTTAATTAAACATGTGTAAAAGGTTTGATTGATTTGATGGATTTATTGATTGACAAATAATCGTCGTGTTGTATTATCGATGTTGTGTAATATTAAAAAAACAAAAGTTCTATTTTGAAATTAGTCGTTATTTCAATTAAACGTTTAATTATTTATATATCAACTTATAACTTTATAAATACAGACATACAAACATATGTTAAATTGTTGTAATTCTACATACTTTATTATATTAGTATATTTTTTATCCCTTTTTAAAATGTTAACAAAACTTAAATAGTCTCACCTTAATTGCGGCTGTAGTCTAAAATTTTTTTGTTGGTTTCCAATAAATCGTTATTGCATTTTTGTGGAAACCAAAAATCAATAGTTGTTTTATATAGATAACTATTTTGTATATATTAATTATAATGTCCTTTTCTTTTGTTGGTTTTTACTTTTATATTGTATATTAAGCACACCTGCTTTCCTTGGTAAATTATTAAAAGTTGAGCACCTATAAAAGCATGTTGTTGAAATAAGTTCGTTTCATTTTTTCGTTCTAAGAAAAAGGTTATTTATTATTTTGTAATATTATTTAATTTTTATCTATTTGAAATTGTATTTATTTAGGCAAATTGGTTACAATATGAAAGTAATCCGAGAAAAAATAATTAAATAAAGTTTCAAAACTTTAGTAATTCTCTTTAATATTGAAGAAAATCTTAATATTTCTCCAAATTTTATACATAATTTAAATTTCATCCAGATTTTTTAATTGTATTTTCAAAAAATATTGGGGGTGTATTGATTTTATCATTCCGTTTGCAACACATCGAAATATTGGTCATAAAAAGAGCCAGAAAAGTATATATCGTTCATTTACTACAAGATCGTCATAAATAAAAAAAATCGTGTTGAGTAAAACGGCATTGGAGGTCCATAATTGGTCGTAGCTCCAATATAGAGTTTACTTCCGAAAATCACTTAAATGTACAAAAATATTTAAGAAATAAAGATATCAGAATCAAATTCCACATAATAAAATTTATAAATATTACTCTGCAAAATATTTTGCGGATCGGTCCATAGATTTTCATAGCTCTCATATAAGGCCCACTTACGATAATAATGTAAACGGACATATACATACATATTTCATAACTAAGTAAATATATCGGGATAAAATTCGTCATGAATGTGTTTAAAGTGTAAACCACACTGCGAAATTTCCAAGCTCTCATATAAGCTCCACTTCCGAAAGCCACATTTTTCATTAATATATAAGGATATGTTCTCCTATCATGAATATGTTATGTGTATAGATAAATCATTCTGCAAAAATTTGTTGGGATTGGCCCTTTATTGCACATAGATCCCACATATATTCAACAGGAATATGTTTGCTATATATAAATTATTCTTCGAATCATTTTTGGATCGGCCCATAAACATTCGCAATTCATTAAATATTTAAAAATATTTAGATTGATTGTTATAAAAAGTAGCTTACAGGTGTTTTTCAAACAATAAAAGATCGCCGGATATAAGGAAAAACCTGATATATAAAGTACGATTTAATATGATTCTCCTCTGAATTTAAACTAAATTTTTACTTTTTAATCAGTTCAGAAACCCCGTATTTTGGATTATGCACGTCTTGAAGTAAATAAGCGATATATGTATATATTCTAGTTCCTTATTAGGTTCTAAGTCTCTCTATGTATACTTTGCTGATTCTCGTTAAAATCGGTTAATATCTTTGTTTAACCTCTATTAATTTTTACCATTGGAATTTGAAATTAAACACTCAAATGATAATTTCACACAATTTAATACTAACTACCCAGAAATCATACTGTGAGAAGTATGATGTAAAAGTCCACATACAATGTTCCTTTTAAAAAATTAAGTTTATGTTCATAAACGATGAAATTCAGTGAATAAAACTTAATACCTTAACGAAATTTTATAATGATTGATTCATATTTGACCCTTGTCCCCATAAATACATTCTTTCAAAAATCAAATCGGTTTGTCGTTAATAAATCTCACAAATCATATGTCATATTATAAGAAGAAAGGAGGACGAGTGGTACATCCGAGTGGATACACGGATACGCAGAGCCTGCGAAGAGGACAGTGAAACGTTATAATAATTTATCTGGTATTATTTCGACAAAATAACATCCAAACATCTTGTTAAATTTTAAGGAACTGAGTTTTTGAACATCGGAAACTAAGTTTTGGAACATTAGACAATTAAGAAAAATTACTATAGCGATGGAGTAAAGTATATCAAACCAATCTGCCATTTTTCATTAATATCGGATCGCCATTGACAGAAAAAAAATGTTAGAAAAATGTTAGATAAAATTTTCAAATTCTGCAGATTTCGGACAATAATGGAAAAAGTTACCATATAATGACCTCTTTCGAAAACCAATCTTTATTATATAGGACACCTATATGGGTGAAGCCAATTATAAGTATATCAAGGAAAAACGTAATGTCCCTATTTCGACAGAGCTGTCTTAGGGAATGTATGCTACATACCCTAAGACAGCTCTATATATAACCATATCTCTAGATGCAATATGAGTAATTGCCGGAATTGTCCTACAAGATATATCAGCTGATGAGATATACAGAAAGAAATGCAGGAGAGAATAGACGCTATAGGATGATCTTCGAGAGCAACGAAACCATGCAAAAATGGCAAAGTAGATGGGAAAAAACCCAAAAAGGACGATGGTCTTACAGCTCCATTCCAGTAATAAAAAATGGGTGGAACGCAAACATGGAGATGTAAACTTGTAAACATGGAGGTTATAGAATTTACCTGTATAAATTTCAACGTGCTGATTCATCTTATTGTCCCACCTGCTCGGAGTTAGAAGATGTACAGCATGTAGTCTTTAAATGCCGTAGATTTGCAGAAAAAAAATAGTCTAGACTATAGACTAGACTATATACTATACTATAGACTAGACTATAGACTAGACTATAGACTAGACTATAGACTAGACTATAGACTAGACTATAGACTAGACTATAGACTAGACTATAGACTAGACTATAGACTAGACTATAGACTATACTATAGACTAGACTATAGACCAGACTAGACTAGACTAGACTATAGACTAGACTATAGACTAGACTATAGACTAGACTATAGACTAGACTATAGACTAGACTATAGACTAGACTATAGACTAGACTATAGACTAGACTATAGACTAGACTATAGACTAGACTATAGACTAGACTATAGACTAGACTATAGACTAGACTATGACTAGCTATACTAGACTATAGACTAGACTATAGACTAGACTATAGACTAGACTATAGACTAGACTATAGACTAGACTATAGACTAGACTATAGACTAGACTATAGACTAGACTATAGACTAGACTATAGACTAGACTATAGACTAGACTATAGACTAGACTATAGACTAGACTATAGACTAGACTATAGACTAGACTATAGACTAGACTATAGACTAGACTATAGACTAGACTATAGACTAGACTATAGACTAGACTATAGACTAGACTATAGACTAGACTATAGACTAGACTAGAGACTAGACTACTAGACTATAGACTAGACTAGACTAGACTATAGACTAGACTATAGACTAGACTATAGACTAGACTATAGACTAGACTATAGACTAGACTATAGACTAGACTATAGACTAGACTATAGACTAGACTATAGACTAGACTATAGACTAGACTATAGACTAGACTATAGACTAGACTATAGACTAGACTATAGACTAGACTATAGACTAGACTATAGACTAGACTATAGACTAGACTATAGACTAGACTAGACTAGACTATAGACTAGACTATAGACTAGACTATAGACTAGACTATAGACTAGACTATAGACTAGACTATAGACTAGACTATAGACTAGACTATAGACTAGACTATAGACTAGACTATAGACTAGACTATAGACTAGACTATAGACTAGACTATAGACTAGACTATAGACTAGACTATAGACTAGACTATAGACTAGACTATAGACTAGACTATAGACTAGACTATAGACTAGACTATAGACTAGACTATAGACTAGACTATAGACTAGACTATAGACTAGACTATAGACTAGACTATAGACTAGACTATAGACTAGACTATAGACTAGACTATAGACTAGACTAGACTATAGACTAGACTATAGACTAGACTATAGACTAGACTAGCTACTATAGACTAGACTATAGACTAGACTATAGACTAGACTAGGCTAGACTATAGACTAGACTATAGACTAGACTATAGACTAGACTATAGACTAGACTATAGACTAGACTATAGACTAGACTATAGACTAGACTATAGACTAGACTATAGACTAGACGAAGGTATGTTCGAAATGTTCAATTTCGAATTTATGTTATAGATTTTCTAAATTCGAATATTGGAACATCCAAAAGTTATTTAAGGTGCTAAGTTTACTTTTTTTAAGAATTTCATATACATATTTTCCAATGTTAATAACAGAAATTTCGAAAAGAATTTCAAAATATAAGCTTTTTATTTAATATGTTTTACTTAAAAATAATTCACATTAACAGGTGTTAATGATAGAAAACGGTTATTTTCATTTTTAAAAGTGATAATACGATAACTAACCAGCCGTGAATAAACCTTTTAACTTAAATCACAAGTTTTTAATACGGTTTCGAATTTGATATAACATCGTGTTTAATATCTATAAACCAAAGCAACCTCTTTTTCTGAAGACTAAAACAAAAACAATTACTACAAAATTATTAATTTGTTTCTATAATTTTGCATGTGTTTTTATTTAGTTTTAAATTATAAACAAATTCAACAAAAAATGTATAAAACAAACAATGCGCTTAACAAAAAAAAAAAAACATTTTAAGAAATGAAACATATTTTTAAGAAATCAAATAGTTTTTAAACAACTTTTCTTTTACAAAATGCTTCTAAAACAAACACTTGTAAAAAACGAATTTCGATATTTCCATTATATTTACAGAAATATCATCTTATTGGGTCACAACGCGAGGTGAGTTTCAGAACAAATAGCAAAAATAATAAAAACAAAACATTATTTTTATTACAAGAAAACTGTTTAATAAACAATTTAGGAGTGTTTAATTTAATTATTTTATTATGATCAGGTTGTTGTTAATTTAATTTGTTTTTTATTTTCGTTAACTAATTTCAACGAATTTTTAGGTTTTTCTTACATTTTTTAAAGAATTGAATTTGAAAATTTAGTTTTTATTTTGCAAACAAAATAATTTAATGAAGCAATTTTATGGTTTGTGTTTTATTATTTGTTTTGAAGTTAAAAAACATTTTGTTTAATATTTAAAAAAAAATTAAAAATTAATTAAATTGCGTTGTTTACCAAGCCGAAAAAAATCTCTAGAAAAAAGAAGAAAAACAGAGTGTCATTGTTGTTGTTATTGCAATTGAAATTCACCTTCAATTTATTGAGTTTCTTTTTTAATATTTGAACATTTCTTAATTGTTTCTAAAAGAAAAACACGTTTGATTTTTCTTTTATTTTCCAATTTTTATAAATGTTTAATAATCTGTTTAATTTTATTTATTTTCTTTTTTTTGGAAATGTAATGCTCTATTTTTTAAACAAAACAAATTCTTTTTTATTAAAAAATATCAATGTTAAAACAATATTTTTTAAAACATTTCTTTTATATGTGTTTGTGTGTATTGTGTTCTCTCTACTTCAAATTTTATAAAAAAAAAAAAAAAAACTTATTTACCTCCAAACAAAACAAACAAAAAAATTAATAAAAAATAATAATCAAATTCTCGGATATGGCAGATTTAAAGACTATACTACTACTGGTATTAAAATTATTACTTTTTTATTCTTATTCCAATACTTCATTGCAAAATATAGTTTCTCACTTTACTTCAGTTCTTTCACTCACTACCTTACGTAATTACTTACACCTGCTTAAAGTAGTTTTACAATTTTATTTCAAATATTTATTAAAAAAATAAACACTTCAAAATCGTCTTAAAAAGGTAAGTGTGATGATTTTTCTTTTAAATCTGCTGCAAAATCTTCTAAAACTCCTTTTACACCTTTTAAAAAATCGCTCTACAGAATTTAGATAAAGACAGGTCTTTAGTCGATTAAAAAGTGTTGAAATTTTCACTATATTCGGATTACTAAAAATATTTTTTCTAAAAGAAAAGTATCAAAAATTCCATAGAAAGCTTTTCTAAAAAAGCTTTTTTAAAGAAAGTCTTTATATACAAAACTTATTTAACAGAAGCTTTTCTAAAATAAACTTTTATAAAGAAAACTTTTGTTTGAAAACTAATATTTTTTAAAGAATCTTTTCTGAATAAAACTTTTTATTAACTAAAGCTTTCCTAAAAAAAACTTTTGTGAGGAAATTTTTTCTAAAGAAAACTTGTAAAGAACGTTTTTCTAAGGAAAACTTTGTAAACAATTCTTTTCTAATGAAAATTCTTCTAAAGAAAACTTTTCTAAAGAAAGCTTTTCTAATGAAAACTTTTATAAAAAAAAACTTTTCTAACGAAAACTTTTATAAAAAAACTTTCTAATGAAAACTTTCTAAAGAAAACTTTTCTAATGAAAACTTATATAAAGAAAACTTTTCTAATGAAAACTTCTCTAAAGAAAGCTTTTCTAATGAATTTATAAGGAAAAAACTTTTCTAAAGAAAACTTTTCTTATGAAAACTTTTTTAAAGAATACTTTTCTAATGAAAACTTTTCTAAAGATGACTTTTCTAAAGAAAACTTTTTTAAAGAAAGCTCTTCTAAAGAGAACTTTTCTAATGAAAACTTTTTTGAAGAAACTTCTAAAGAAAACTTTTTTAAGGAAAACTTCTAAAGAAAACTTTTCTAAACAAAGCGCTTCTAATGAAAACTTTTCTAAATAAAGCTTTTATAAAGGAAGCTTTTCTAAAGAAGCCTATTGTGAACAAAACTTTTCTAATGAAAACTTTTCTAAAAAAGCTTTTCAACCTTTCTAACGAAAACTTTTCTAAAGAAAACATTTTCAATGAAAACTTTTCTAAAGAATGCTTGTCTAAAGAAAACCTTTCTAAAGAAAGCTTTTCTAACGAAAACTTTTGTAAAGAAAACATTTTCAATGAAAACTTTTCTAAAGAAAACATTTTCAATGAAAACTTTTCTAAAGAAAGCTTTTCTAAAGAAAACTTTTCTAATGAAAACTTTTCTAAAGAAAGCTTTTCTAAAGAAAACTTTTCTAAAGAAAGCTCGTCTAAAGAAAACTTTTCTAATGAAAACATTTCTAAAGAAAGATTTTCTAAAGAAAACTTTTCTAAAGAAAACTTTTCTATGGTAAACTTTTTTAATGAAAACTTTTTTAATAAAAACTTTTCTAAAGAAAACCTTCCTAAAGAAAACCTTCCTAAAGAAAACTTTTTTTAAAAACTTTTCTAAAAAAAACTTTTCCTAAAGAAGCTTTTAAAATTAGAAGTTTTGTAAAGAACACTTTTCCAATAAAAACTTTTCTAAATAAAACTTTAAAAGGCAACTTTGCTGAAACTGTCAATATGCTTTTTTAAGGACAACTTTCTTGACAAAATATCTTTTCCAAATAAAACTGTCATAAGAAAACCCTGCTGAAAACAAAGTGGTCTTGGCAAGACAATGTTTTAAAAAAACTATTCTAAAGAATACTGACTTTACCCGATCATGTTCTAAGAAAATTGTCTTGACACTGTACTTAAGAAAACTGTACGTAAGACACAGTTGCAACGAAAATTTTCTTGACTAGAAATTATTGTAAAGAAACCTCTCTTAGCAAGACACTGTTCTTAAGAAAGCTGTTCTGACAAAGCCATTCTAAGGAACACTGTATTTTAATACACTTTTCTAAAGAAAAATTTCTTGTATGTATGTTAAAAAAAATAACCTTATGACAAGAACTGTCTTAAAGTAAACTGACTTGGCAAGAAAACTGTCATGGCAAGATACTGTACTAAAGAAACATTTCTTGAATAGACGCCGTTCTTAAGAAAACTGTCATGTAAGACACAGTTCCAAAGAAAATTGTCTTGACTACAAACTGTTGTAGAGAAAACTGTTTTGACAATACACTGTTCTAAAGAAAAATATAGACGCTATTCGAAAGAAAACAGACTTGTCAAGATACTGTTTTAAAGAAAAGTGTCTTGACTTGAAGTTGTTCTTAAGAAAACTGTGTTGTAAGACACAGTTCTAAGGAAAATTGTCTTAACTAGAAACTGTTCTAAAGAAAATGTCTTGACAAGATACTGTACTAAAGAAAACTGCCTGTAATGCACTTCTTTAAAGAAAACTGTCTTGCAATACGGTGACAAGAAAATGTTCTAAAGAAACCTTCTTAGCAAGACACTGTTCTAACGGAAACTGTTATTTGAAAAATAGCCATGAAAAGACAATGTCTTGAGCTTGACTTGATCTTATTTGATCTTTTATCTAAATTCTGTTTCAAAGATTTTTTTAATTATAAATTAATAACCATTACGCACCATTTTTTTAATCTCTCTCTTTACTCCGTAAACTGTAACTAATAATGACACTCTAAATTCTATTTAATTTTTTTAAATTATTTTATTCAAATAATTAGTTATCTATAGAAACTTAAAATAATTTTTTTTAATTTCTTTTTTAAACCTTATTTTTCAACACTTTAGTTCCAAAAAAATATATATTTTTAAATATATAACCATCTTAAACACTAAACTATAACTTTGGCTTCTAAAAATTCTTTTCTATTTCACTTTCCATGTAAAAAAATATTAAACAATAACAAAACCATTGGATTTCCTATGCTTATAAAAAAAATTTCACCAACAAAATAATTTACATGAAAACTTAAAACTCAAACCAATCAAAAAAATCAATCACATTTAGTCGCCCTGCATTTTGTAGACGTGATGTGGTCGTTGCCTCACCACCAACAAGATAGGCCAGGTATTGAAAGAAAAATAATTAAAAACACTACTACTACGACAACTATTAAAACAATGAATATATATGAAATTTTTGCTCAATTATTATACACAAATATTAAAAGATAAATAAATATTTTAATACAAATATTATTAATATAAAAAAATTACAAGGATTAAGAAATAATGGTAAGTAATTAATAACAAAATGAAAACGTTTTTTTTTTTTAATTAATAATTTTTGAACAAATAGGTTTTACTGGTTAGGAAATTATTTTCTTTAATATATTATTTTTTTTTTCTTATAAAACTTGTAAATTATTGTATAATACAAAATTATAAATAATTTTTACAGATCTCAACAGATTTATGCAAATCAAAAATATTATGCCGTTAATACTCATGCTTTCGCTTAAGCGTTATTACAAAATGAGATAAATTAAAAACGTAAAACGTTCTTATATTTAATATTATTCCCTAAAGTCCACATACAAGTTTTTGTTTTATATCTCAATTTCTCAAGCCACTTTATCATAAAGGGTGAGCTTTTATTTAATTTGGTTAAAAATACTTATAAATTTAAAAAAATCTACAATTTCTTTAACTTTCTAGTAAAGGAAACGGCTTGTAAATATTTATTTCGACTTCCAATAAGCTTACAATAAAAACAAATTTAGTGCAGCTTTAATTTAGTTTAGTTTGAATTTAAGCTTAAAACTATTTGCAGTTTAAACTTAATTAACACTACTCAATGTTTTAAAAGAAATATTTGATAATGAACATTGAAATGATTAAAATAATAAAATAAATTTCAAAAGGAATCTGAAAGGCAAAAGCCATGAGAAAAAGCATTTTTGTCATGGTTTAACATGTTATATTTCTAAAGACAACATTCATACGATAGTTTTCTAAAGAACACTGACAAGATACTGTTTCAAACAAAATACACAATACACTTTTATAAAGAAAACGGTCTAAGAAAACTGTCTACACAAGACACTTTTATGAAGAAAAATGTCTACACAAGACACTTTTTTAAAGAAAACTGTCTACAAAAGAAACTTTTTTAAAAACACAAAACACTTGTCTAAATGAAACTGTCTACACCAGACAATTTTATAAAGAAAACTGTCTAAAACACTTCTAAAGAAAACTGTTCACAAAATATCCTATTATAAAGAAAACTGCCTATACAAAACACTTTTCTAAAGAAAACTTTCTACCCTTTTTAAAGAAAACTACACAATGCACTTTTATAAAGAACACTGTCTACACAAGACAAGACACACAACATTATTCTAAAGAAACTGTCTATACTAGACACTTCTCTATAGAAAACTGTTTATAAAAGACACTTCTAAGGAAAATGGTCTACACAAGAAATTTTTCTAATTTTTTTTTTTTTAAGAAAACTATCTACACAAGACTATTTTCTAAATACAACTATCCACACAAGACACTATTCTAAAGAAAATTGTCTACACAAGACACTTTTCTAATGAAAACTGTCTACACAAGATAGTTTTCTAAAGACAACTGTTTATACAAGATACTTTTATAAAAAAAAGCTATCTACACTAGACACTTTTCTAAAGAAACTGTCTACACAAGATAGTTCAGTTTTCTAAAGAAAACTGTTTACTTAAGATATTTCTACAAATAAAGCTGTCTACACAAGGTAATTTTCTAATGAATACTGTCTACTGTGTACGCAAGACACTTTTATAATGAAAACTATCTTGACAAGAACCGTTTTTAAAGAAAACTGTCTACACATTTTTCTGAAGAAATCTGTCTATACAAGACACTTTTTCAAAGAAAATTGTCTTGATACGACACTTTTCTAGAGAAAATTGTCTACACAATACACTTTTCAAAGGAAACTTGTCTTCACAACACACTTTTGTGAAGAAAATTGTCTAACAAGTCCATTTTCTGAAGAAAACTGTCTACACAAGAAACTTTTCTAAAGACAACTGTTAAGACAAGACACTTTTGTAACGAATACTGTCTACACATGACACTTTTCTGCAAACACAAGGCCCTTTCCTAAATAAAACTGCATACACAAAACACTTCTAAAGAAAACTATTTACACTCTTTTAAAGAAAATTATCTACACATTTCTAATGAAAACTGTGTAGAAAACAATGTTCTAAAAATGGAATTGAAAATAAAATTGTTAAAAAAGTCTGTTATTAAAAAAACTGTCTTAAAAGGACAATTAAAAAATTTATAAAACATACTTCATTATCAAAGTTTTTTATAAAAAAATCTTGTACTCTTCTCCTTTATTATTGAGTAGTGTTATCTATTATCTTCAAATATCTATTATATATATTAAAAAATCTATATACACAATTTTAAAACCTCGTGTGTAAACGTGTAGTTAATTATAATACTATTGTTCTGTAATGCATTACTTTTGTGGTACTTTGTGTCTGCTTTCTTTAATTTAATAATAAAAAACAAAACAAAATCTTTTGATACTATTTCATCTTCCTGTAAGTTCTAAATCTCTAATACTACTTAACATCCTCTTAAAGTCTGTTTATATACTATATCTAATGCTTTTTTCCCCCCCTAACACCAACTATGAATTTTCAAATACACGCGTAAATACTAGTTCCACTGCTTTTGGTAAATAAAAACTTTAGCTTTTCTTGTATAATTTTTATTCCTCTTCCTTTATAAAAATATAATTTATTTTTTTAGTAACTACATAATTTTTTTTTCAATCACATTTTATCAGTAAAATCAGTAAAAATTCTATAAACAAGAATAAATTCCAAAAAAAATATAAACAAACGATATTTTTATACGATTTTAAATAAAATAGAAAATGTTGAAATGAGATAAAATTTGGTACCATAAGCTATTTAAAAACAAAAATTACAAAATTTTAATAAAAATCACTAACTATTAGCGTTTATTTTTAATGCTTGTCTTTCAACATTTTCTAAATAAATTTGTTAAATTTTAGGATTTTAACATTTGCAATGAAATAGACTAAACTAAAAACAATTTTTGAATATTATTTTAAAGGCTTTCCATTAATATATAATTTTATTTTAAATTTTCATTTTCTCTAAACGAAAATAACACTAATAAAAAAACACAACAATCAAATAATTTAAAAACAACAACAACAAAGATGGGGTCGAGGTCCTCGCCACGGTTCGTTAGCCGGTCAGCATCCCACCATTATAGATTATCGGACGGGATACATAAGGTCCCATCTTCGGTCACCCTCTGGCCGTGTGAGATGACTGATCTATCGCCTACCGGTTTTATACAAAACAATCACAATAAACCGCAACAACAACAACAACATCATGCTCATCATCAAACACTACAACAACCACATCATTCCTCTTTACATCACCAGCAGCATCCACAACATTCTAGTCTTTCCCTATCGTCATCAGGTGGCGGTGGCGCTGTTGGCGGCCACCATTCCAGCAGCCATAGCAGCAGTTTGCGTGCTCCTCCAGTTGGCAGTGGTGGCGGTCGTTTATTTTCATATTTTGGCAATGATCATGAACATGAACGTAAAAAGTCGGAAACATCATTTTTCAATTTGGGTTTTCGTCGCAAATCAACTGTTGTTTACTATGCGGCCACCGACTAATATGAACCCCATCGTTTATCCATCAACTCTATTGGATGAATTGAATTTATTGCCACAACAGCTACATGCATTGTAAACAAATCCGTACATTAAGCAAACAATTACAAACAAAAAAGAGTAAGAATTACTGTTAAATATAAATTAAATAATTAACAATTTAAATATATACTAACTTAAAAGAAAAATTAAATATTAAACAATTTGATGTTAATTTTAAGATAATCAAAGAAGAATTTGCAAAAACAAACTCAAAATAAGACACACTCACATTATACATAATTGTTAAAACAAAATATTGAAAATATATGACATACATTTACCGTTATTCAAATTATGCTCAATTAAAACAAAACCAACAAAAGAATATCAAAAACACAGCCTACAATCAACCACCATAATTAAATTTAAAAAAATATACCAAAGAAATAACGTTCAAAAAGGATCTTATTAGTTTTGTGTAGCATATTTTAAGGATGTGAGTTTATATTTAAGAGAGGATATGTTTGTTTCATATGAATAAACACACAAAATATGCTTCTAATTTTTGTGATCTACAGTTATCTTCGAAATTGTACTTCTTCTAAAAGCTTTTTTTTAGAACCTCCACCACTATAGTGAGGATTTTGGAGCTCGTTATTATGTTTCATTATTTAGTATCTCTACAAAAACTTAGTTTTATATACATAAGTCTAAATAATACTTTCGATTTTCGTAATGATCGGTGCTCATTTGACCCTAGCCCCATGCAAGCACAAGAACGTTGTTAACTCAGTTTAAACACAAACATTATGATGAAATTCTTCATAGTTAACTTCTAACATAAACCTTTCCTCCAAATTTTGATAGCATCGATCAATAATTGACACCTAGTCTAAATAATACTACGAAAGTTTTTAACTTTCTTTTAAACACAAGCATTATAATGAAATTCTTCATAGTTAACTTCTAACTTAAATCTCTCCACCAAATTTTGATAGCATCGGTCCATAATTGACCCTAGATCCCATGTACACACAGACTCTTATAAAAAATCCGTCTTTCATCAATAAATTGCCTTAATATATATGGAATTTAAGGTAAAATTCTTCATAAATGTTTTATGAACGATTATACTTTCCTACTTGTTTTATGTGCTTTGTTATCCTAAAAACAAAAAGCCCACTTTACGATTTTGAGGATTCTAGCTGTAATATATTTTCAGATATGCGAACCTTTGTATTTAATTTATATGAGAGATGTCACACCAACAACTTCAATGGATTATAACGTTACATTTTAAGATTCTACCTCTAATAGTTTCATTGTTTTGGGAGGTGCCAAGCACCCGATTGGTAGCCCGCCTTTTTTCTCCAAATGTGTATATGGATGTGAAATATTTTCGTTCTAAATTTTAGGGTTATAGCTCTAATAGTTTCTCAGATATAAACATATTTGTATTCAATTCACAAGCCACGGCCCCTATTGCAAGTACGCCCAATTTTGATTCTTAAATACTCACATTGAAGCTAAAGTGACTTCGAAAAAACTGATGAATCTCAGATATTTTAATTTAAAATTTTTCTTATATGGCAGGTGCTACGTCCACTAACCATTTTGTGTCTTACATAGCCGATAATTGCAAATACATTATTTCTTTCAGATAATGCTCACGACCCAATTATTCATCATTTCACTCTCATTCATAATACATACAACGTTCAATTACGATCCCAATGAAAGGGGGATTAACTAATGTTCTCTCAATTCAGTTTAAATTACCCAACGACTTCTAAACAACTCATTGTCACCTCAGCAGTTTGTCTTCATTCGCTGGAAGTCTTTAAGAGCAATTTGCGCGTCGTCGTTATCACTTAAAGGCGATCAGACCAATGTTATTTGACGTCTCATTCTTAATCGGTATTACTTCCTAAATATTCTAAGTTATGATTTGCCTGCAAATAACGGTATGATCATATTCTGCCTCATGACGGAGATATCATTCTAACTACTATATAATAAAGTTGGAGCTCCCTCTCCACCCGTAACATGTCATAAAAGATCTTCGAGTGTGCGACAACTACACTGAGCGATATAGGCATGATTCGCTTGAAAAAGCATGGTATTTCCAGAGTATCCTATCAATATCGTACTTGAAGGTTACCTATTGCAAAAGATACTGAGATCTGCATAAAGCAATAGAGTAGAGCGTTCTTGTTGCTGCACTAAGCCCCCAGGATTGTCCACTCTAAAAAGAGCCATATGTCCGTAGTAATTCTACCCTGAGGTCTATGGGTCACTTTTAGCTCAAGTTATGTTATCAATGAGGTTGATTATATCAAACGCTTGCCATAAAAGAGCAGCGTCTGACTCTGCCACTTTATAGTACGTTAGGATGTTGATCTGGATGTGGCTGTGTTCTTGGTATTTAGATTTTTGATTGATCTTTATAATTCTTCTTTAGATAAGTGCACTTGAAAAGTCTAAAAGTACACGATACATTACTTTTTGTTGTGTTCAGTCCAATCTGTCTTGTTTAAACTTAAGCGACTTTTACGTGACAATCAAGGACAACGGATATCGAAGAGAACGCTTGTATTTTGACAGTATTTTTCATTGAATTTTCCTTCACAGATTTACGGTAAACCTATGAAGGTAAACCGTTTACCTTCTTAGAGTCATAAGCCGTGTTCTGTATTTATGATGTTAGAAGTCACCACCAGCATATCCTCCTCGTCGGAATGTAACTTGTCATCACTGGTCACAGTGCCGTCTAGCAATACCGGGATCAGTATGGTCTTATAACGTGCTTCTGAGAACTCTCGTTATCCTTTGAGATATTAGCACTTGAGTCTAGACTCTAGAACACTGTATCACACTATTACACTGCCGCTTTTCTCGCGTCGAGTGCAGATCAGGATGGCGAAAACCGTTGGGCTTTTCAGGTCTTGAACCAACTGATCAATCTTTCTCATTCCTGAAATCTTTAAATTATTTTGAGCATTATTAATGTGTCACTTCGCCCTGTCCTGCTAAATGTAGATATCCATTCGCAGCAAGTTTATGTGGAGGATGTTTATCAATTACTCGAAGATTCCGATTGTACATATTCTCCATCCATTGGTACATAAACCTTGGTAGAGTTTAGAAACAAATCGACCAAAACAGCAACATTCTAATCTACATTTCTTTGTTTAGATTCAATTAGGCCCATGGAAAGCTGTTCTGATATAATAGAAATTCCTTTTGTAGATGGCCATTACATCTTTACGAAGTGTCCACTATGGACCCTTCGTATATTAGTTTGCATTTCCAAATTCAAATTTACTTTTCGGTTCAGAGAAAAATCGTTTTCAATTTCTGAATTAAAACATTTTTTTGAATAGTTTAGAAGTCTCAGTGAAATTGTATAACCTTGGTTTTTGTATCTGTTAATTTTAAAACTTCTCCAATTAAAATAAATAATAATAAAGAACTATGGTCCGATTTTATAGTTCACACTAAAGCAAAAAAAGTTTTACTTAAGTTTGTAAATTTCATACAAAATACAAAACTTCCTTTAATGAGAACTGTAAAGCCCAGCCTATATCTTTTCATATATTACAATTTATTATTTAGTTAGTTTATTTTTAAAGAAAAACCAGTTTAACTGAACAAAATTAAAACTAACTGTTTATTCAAGGATCTCTAAAAAATATTCATTCCACCCATTAATTTAACTACATACATACTAAAACTATATGCCAATTGTTTAAAGCAATTAAAAATAAATTAATTAATAATAAAACATAATTTAAGGACACGTACATAATACTATATATTTATTTATATAACACAAATCAGTCTTATTCAAAAATGAACACTTCGTCAATAATCAATAATATTTCAGGAATTACGAGGTTTTTAAACTTTTCAATTTTAATTGGAAGCTAATTATATGAATATAAATTGAAGATTCTGAAATAGAATTGGAATATGAATAGTTGGAGATTTTTAAAACGGAGTAGGAAATCATTTAGTTTCGGAAGAGTACATCATTACTATTCTTTCCATGATACCAATTACCCTATTTCACTTAGCACAATGAATTTATGGACTAATCTAATAGAAAATGGGGGGGGGGGGTGGTTGTTAGGTTAAACTGTAACTCGAGCGAAAGAAAAAATTTCGAATTTGTATGTTAAATACATTGTATTTCGAAAGCTTTTTCTTAACCCCCTTGGATTAGACCTAAATATAGAACCCCCAGATTAAAATTGTACAGTTTAAGCTATTACAACAACAAATAGTCTTTCAGAGGGGTAGATAAGCATAGATAGTATTGGAGTACAATTGTGAAATATAAATTGAAGATTCTGAAATAGAATTGAAAATTCTGATATATGTATATAATTAGCAGGGAAACCGAAAAAAGTGTTTTAAGCGCTTTAAATATGTCGTAAAAAACTCAAAATATGCTCTTAAAATTTAATAAATAGGCTCCAAAAATAATTATTTTAAATTATATTTTAACATTGAAAAGCTTAAAAAGACTGAAATTGTAATGAAATAATAAATATTTAATGTCATATTTCATCCTACTAGATTTTTTATAATTGGTTAATCTGTTAGTTTGAAGATCCAGTTTAATAGAACTCTGTTTTACGTTCAGATAACCAATAAATAACATGAAGCCATTTGGTCCCCAAAAAAACATATTTCAAACGACAAAGTTTGACACATTTCTTCCAGTTGTATTCATAGCTTCACACAGAAAGACGCCGAAACACGTGAACTTAATTTTCGGTCGTAGAATCTAGTGGCATACTCCGTTTTGAAAAGTTAGGTCAAAATCGGGAGATATTGGATTTTAAAGTTTACACTGTTTCTGAGGTGTTTTTTAAAAAAACTTTCACAGATAGAAAATTATGGATTAATTATGCATATACATATATTTAGCTTTTTATAATTAGTTCGTATGTCTATGCGTGAAAACTTTTTTCAAAAATTTAAAAATTCATTTAAAAAATCACCTCATAAAGAGTTCATACTTTAAAACACAATATCTCCCGATTTTGACCTAAATTTTCAAAACGTAGTAAGCCACTAGATTCTACGACCCAAAATTAAGTTTAGGTGTCTCGGAGTTTTTCTGTGTCTTTTTGACATACTTACAGTGTTATCAATACTAGTTGTTTAAACGATAAAAATGGATTGGTGTCATGAAATCCAAAGTTATCGGTTTTATGTCCGATTTAAAATTTAATGCTTTATTGAATAAAAAATATAACATTGGTTTTCATGAGACTAATGTATTTTTTACAGTTTTCAAGTTCTACAAAGAAAATATTTTTTTTCAAAATTGTAAAATAGGCTAAAAAATTAAAAAAAAATAAATTTGATTTTTTTAAATAAAGTTTTGAAAAGAAAATTAAAAATGTACAAAAATGTACAAAAATGTACAAAAATGTAAAAAAGCGAAAAACTTCAAAATATGCACTAAAAGAGTAAAATATGCTCTAAAAACTCGAAAATATGCTGAAATATGCTACAAAAGTCAAATCATGCAAAATTATGCTCTTATGGGTAAAATATGCAAAAATATGCTCTAACAAATCGATGCCAAAATTCTTAAATTGATCTGAAACGTGTAAATATCTTATCCATGAGTCCATACGACGCACCACAAAAAACATACATTTGCATATTTTGGTTTCCCTGATAATTAGAAATGTCTAAAAAAAACGATTGAATATCATTTAGTTTCGGAGGAGTAGATCATTACTAATCTGAAATAGAATTGAAATACAAATAGAAAATTATGTTATATAATTGGAAATTTATGAAAAGGGATTGAAAATCATTCTGTTTCAGGGGAGTATATCATTACTAATCATTCATAGAATTAGATAAGTAATGATAAAATTGCGATTTTTAGCAAATTTATTAAATGCAGCGAAACGCAGTGAGCTCTCAAATGAGCTCTTTTGTGCTCTTTCTTTCACGCTTACTTACAGTGTGATCATTTTGGCATTTTTGCAGCTAGATTTAGCATTTTTTATTTTGATTTAGCTGTAAAATTTTAATTTAGCATTTGGCATTTTATTTAGCATTTTTATAAAATATTTTTAGCATTTTTAGCTTTTTTTGCAATTTTAGTATATAAACAAAAAAAGACAAATTTTTGCAAAAAAGATTTATATTGGAAATAGGTTTAACCGGAAAAAATCAGAATTAAATGTGGTAAGAAACAAGAAATATGAGAAATGTAATAATTTACACTGTAATTCAAAATAATGCAAAAAGATTCATGAAGATAAATAACTTAAAATTACGCCAATACAAGTGAATACTTTAAAATGTTGTATTCTAAAATATTTTTCTGGAACACAATGCTTTTTTAAATTCGAGGTGATAGAAATAATTCAAGAGATTTCATATATTTTTACAAAATAGCGTATTACAAACTAATACTTTTTGTTTGCTCATGGAATGAAACATATAATTTTGGAAAAGGCTATGTATGACGGTTAATTAACAAATTTTATTTTTTCCTATACGAAATAAAGAGGTTTTAATTTTTATCATCCTTCAGGAATTTTTGTTAATTTATTGAAAATAAGTATTGAAAAAAATCAATAATATATAATTAAGACTTTCTCATCCTACTTTCTGTTCTTTTTATTTTTACTAAATTTTTAGTAATTTTGTTGTCACGTTTTTTTTTTATTAAAAAAAAATACATAAATTTCGAAAATATTATTGACAATTTATTCCAGAATTACAAACTTACGGATTTGAATATATCTCTCAATTCATTTCATACATTCTCATACATACTTTTCCGAAAAAATCTTGGAAGTATGAGTTATAAACCTGACATCTATTCACCGAGATTTAAAATTATTTCAACGGAATTTTCAATATTTTTGTGACATGAAAACCATTTATAAAGTGTTTTGAGGAAGACAAATAAAATTGTTTATATAAAAAAAAGTAAAACTAGAAATATTATACTTTTCCTTCCGAAAACACATATAGGTTTTATACCATGAGCAACTAGTGTAATTAATATAGTTTTAATGTAATTTTTGCATTCAGAAATATTTTAAAGTTAGAGACATTACATATTGCTAAATTTACAAAAATTTTGAAATAATTTTTAGCATTTCTGTTTATCTTAATACCACGGAACCTAATTTTTTACCCTACTCCACTATACTACGTTTGAGTATACTAATCGATTAAGAATCATTTTCTGAATCGATTAAGCCATGTAAGTCTGACCGTCTGGTAGCGGTTGAAATTTTCAAAACAATAAAGCAAGTATGCTTTTAAAAATGGTTAAAGTCCGTCCTTTATTTTACCTAGCCCCCATACATATACAAATGTATAAAGCCTTTCTCAGAAAATTAGTTTAAATATATCGGAACCAAGGTTCAATTCAACATAAATGCTTTATTACGAAAAATAAATCAAATTTTATACTCATATGGTCAACCACGGCAGAATATACTTTCTTACTTGTTATAAATTACAATGAATTTCAGTTAGAAATTAATATGAATTGTTCATAAAAACACTTATAAAATTTTAGCATTTTTTCTAGCATTATTTTGGATGGGATTTAGCGGCAACATTTTTTGAGACCTGGTCACACTGCTTACATATGCTCACACATATATAAAAAAAGCAAAACCAGTTAGAGAACTATTTTTTACTCTCTGCCTTTTCGATTCCGAGCCCAAAGAACTGTTCGTTATTTAAGACCAAGATCGAATCAAGCTCATTTTGAACTTCTTGCTCTTAAGTGAAGCGTAATTCCGGGAAAGCGTTTTGCATCGAATAATGTATTCGGAATTCATCTTGCCGAAAATATTACGGCTTCAAGTCTGTTGGTATATTCGGGCGTATGTCAAACAATGCTCAAGCATATCTATTGCATTCGCTACAGATCTCCTATAATCGTCTTTCCCGATTCCAGCAACTCATGATCTGAACATGTTTAGATCATTACTTTGCCGCCATAATATCAACTTTTGAACGGATTGAAATTTTATAAGAGTAACTTTATTACTTTGTTATTGACGTCATAATTTCAATTTTGAATAAGGCTGATTACAGAAAGCAAACCAAAAAAACATTTCGAATTTTTAAGAAAATTACAATAAAAATACTAAGGATTTTAAAGTACTTATGTATACATTATTAGAGAAAAACTATAAAATTAAAGGAAAAGGAAGCATTAAAAATGACAAAGCACTTTAGACGATAAGTAACACAATAATAAAAATGATAATAAAACAATTATTAAAATAAAAATAAATAAGAACAAAAATAAAATATTTTTCTGTCAAAAAAAAAAAAAATTGCATTTAAAATGAAAAGAAAAAAATCAACATTTTATTCAAATGGTTAAAATTGATTTGCAAAAAAATACATTTATTAATAAATTTTGAACTGAAAATTTTGAAAAATAAATAATTGAAATTAAAACAAAACTAATTTGTATGTATATTTTTATGTAAGTTAGTTTTTTATATGAAAAAAACAAAAAATTAATTAAATAAAATAAATATGTTCCGTTAAACAAATTAAAGGAAAATATTTATATTTATTAAATATTGTTAATTATGTGTGTATTTGTTATGTTAAGTTTAAGAAAAATTATAATTAAATTAAAAAAAAACACTAAATGATTAATTTTTAATTAGCATTGTTAATAATTAAGTTTAATTTTAAATTTATTAGAAAAAAATCAAAATCATGAGATTTGAAATGTTATTATTTATTACATTATTTATAATAAGGTTTTTATATTTATTTGTTTTATGATATGTAAACCAAACAAAAAAAAATCATCTCAAATCCCCCAATAATTTGTGATAATTTGGAATTAATTTTATATATATTTAAAAGAAAGTAAAACCTATTTAATTATTGTAAATGTTATTTTATAATAATAATTAATTATTATTATATAAATTGATAGTCAAATTATTATTACAAGAACTAAACAAATAATTATCTAAATAAAATTAATTGAAAGAAAGAAATCATAGTCAATATATTATCAAAAGAAAATAATAAATATTTTCAATTTCGAAATATGTATAAACATGAAAATGTCTTTAATTTATAGATTTTGAAAGAAAAATGTACTATATTTTTATTATAATTATTTCTATTATCATTTTTATTATTATTTTAATATAATTTTTTATTATTTCTTTTATATTTAACAAGTGGCGCCCGACCGCGTTGCAGGCCTTTGATTAGAAATGTGGATTCTACACGTAAATATCTATATACCACTCAAATTTTCAAATAATCGGTTTAGATGTAATTGACTGAAAATTAAAATATCAACGCCATCAGTCGGACCAATTTAAAACTTTACAGGAACACTTCTCACGATCCCTGATACATATGGGCAATTCCATACGATTGTATGTGACATTCGCACGCCTTCAGAGTGGTATAGATTTTGTAAAATTAGGAGTACTTGGAAAACAATTTTGTCATTCTGTTCCATTTAAATTCTGTTCCATAAAGGAATCATCCCATTCGGAACCTTGTTTTCCAAAATATGGATTAAAATGTGGCGATATCATACGTGACAAAAAACGGAAGTGTACATGTAAATATTTACGAAAATCTGCGAATTCTGTAGGTGTATCTATTTTGTTTTAATTTCTTACACTATGGGACATATTGTTCATTAGTAATCCATAATTTTTAAATAAAAAAAGGAATTAATATAATTTTATAATGAACATATTTAAATATCGTACGTGACACATCGTATATGACAGATTTTTCTCCTGGTTTTTTTAGATTATAAAATATATATTTTTTGGAAATATATGCATACACACACTTCAATCAAAAGGTGTAGGAAAGCGCAGTCGGACATGGCCGACCTATATACATACATGTTTAAGCAATTTATAGATAAAAATAAAAAACTGGAGTTATATGGCGACTAGGGTCAAATATGGACCGATCCTCATAAAATTCTAGGGTGTGATTTTAATTCATATAAAACTTATTTGTGCCAAATTTTATCATAATACTAGTGATTAGAGGTGAGTTACGGACGTTTAAGTGTTTTTCTGAAATTAAACTTTAAATGGAACTAGGGTCAAATGAGGTCCAATTGTTATGAAAATCGGCATAAAGGTTTAGGCTTATAAACATTTTCGATCTGCCGATTTTTGAAGGAATAGTATTATAATTAACAGAATTATGAGCTAAAAAGTGATACTTTCGGTTCCGTTTGTATGGCGGCGAGGTGTAAAAATAGACCAATTTCAAAAATTTTCAACAGTCTTCGTCTTTGGTGCTACAAAAGATCATATACCAAATTTTGTTGAATTATCTTTAAAAATGCAGAAGTTATAAGGGTTTTATTTTTTCAGTCGTGGTTTCCCTTTTCATGGAATTGCCCATATGTATTTGAAATATCATGCGCCGTAGTTCCTTATGATCCCTTTAACATATATTTGAAATATTGTCCTATCATGCTCCGTAGTTACTGAGTTTTTCTATTACGAACAAACATTACTCTTTTATTTATATAGATAACTATTTTTTCATCATTTCCCGGGGTGCTTTTAAAAGTACTATTAGAAGAAAGAACCTTTATTTCACCATAAAAATCCTCTATGTTCCTGTTTTTATACTCTTATTTAAATTTTTAAACAAAATTAATAAAGTACTAGCAGTACCCGGTGTGCTTCGCTACCCTCATCGTAGTTAAAAAAAACCAATACTGTTGATTTTTCTTCAATCATTACGTTGCGTGTTTAAATTACATAAGTACCAATTGAAGAAGGAAAAAGTACCACAGAGTTCCTTTTTCAGATTTTCAATCCATTAGGATACTATATATCTGATTTTATTATTCTAGGTTCAATAATTCAGAATTTCAAAAAGTACCAGTTGAATGACGAAAAAGTATCAAAACGTCTCCTTTCATTTATAGAAAATTCAAAAAGTACCTTTTGAAGAGGGAAAAAGTACCAAAAAGTTATACATATTTTATAGATTCTTATTCACTCCGGGATCTACATACGTAATTTCATGTTTCTTGGATCAATATTATAAAAAAATTAAAAAAACTCAAAAAGTACCTTTTGAAAAACGAAAAAGTACAAAAATAGTACTTGGTACCGGTTAAGTGTTACTAAATATAGTAATTTTAAACATTTTTATCAAAATTGGCTTATTGATTTTGAATAAAATTAAAATTCCCGCTTTTACCCTCTTTTGGTATTTTTTTTCTCCCAATTAAAGAAATAAAAATTCCATTTCAAAAAAGTTGCAATATCGTAGTGGAAGCCCGTTATTATGTATGCATATGTATAAGTCAATAAATTAAAAAGGTACCATTTATATAGGTACAATTTTAACCCAATAAACGTCCGAATATCCAAAAAGTACTTAATTTATATTCCTTTTTTTCGATAAGTTACGAATGAATTAAAAATTCATTGGTTAAAAAGATACATGGAGTGTAGAAAAAGTAACAAAATTTATCCGTTTACTCTTCTTGTCCCCTAAATATTCAAATTTGTTGTGAGACCAATTATCTGTCCAAAGTTCAACTTTCAAGCTCAACCGTTTAGGCTGTGCGATGATAAATCGGTCAGTGAAGTGAGTGGTCTGACAAAATTTCAGCAGCTTATAATAGTTAAAATCCCTTTTAGTTCCATCCAATACAGAGCAATATCTAAGCTCCTTGGATATTTAGTTTTGGTGTCGATTCGGCTGTTTGTATGGATTTCTTACGCTTCGAGTTTTAGTAACATACCACTTACGGTGGCTACGGACCCGACTAGCTATGTTGTTTAGAAACGAGTATTCATTACATGGCAATGACCTTTTCGCTTACAGGTCGCAATTTCCATGATAATTTGATGAAATTTAGCACATAATCTTCTTTTGATCCTATTTAAAATGGTTAAAATTGGTCGATTATTTCGCTTAGCCCCCATACAACCGTAGTCCTTGAGCTGGTTACTCCGTATTTCAATTCGAAAAAAAGAAATTAAAAAAGTACCATTTGAAGAACGAAAAAATGTCATAAAAAAATAAATTAGAATTGTTAAGAATCATTCTTAACTTTACCTCCGTCTTTTTGTAACCCTTCCTAATAAAATTCTTATCCATTTAAGCAAGCATTTGAAAAATACTTCAATTTTTACCTATCAAAAAAATTATAACAAAAATTCCAAACAAAAGCAAAAAATTATATTAAAAATTCTAAAACGCTTTGAAAAAATAACAAATATAAAAAGATTTAACAAAATTTTGCCAAAATTTCTATTAAAGAAAGCGTACTTAACGTATTTGGTTGACAACGTTAAATTGATTTTGAATTGAATAATTGCGAAAAAAGAAAAGCCAAAAGCTGTAAAAAAAACTTTTTAAGAAAAAACAAAAAATATTTAATATTTTCAGTGCGATTTTTTCAATTTGGTGGTTTTGTTTTGAATATTGTTTTTATTGTTATTAGTTGCATTTGAGGAAGATTTTGAAAAAAATGTGAGATAATTTTTTTTTAATTATATAATTTTTTTTGTAATTTTATTTTTGTTTTAGATTTTATTATTTATATAACAACACTTTTAAAGGAAGACAAGCGCATCAAATAACATCATGAATAAATACAGTGGTAAGTGCAATATATTTTAAATCTTATCTCTGGAAAAATATGAATTATATGGGAAAAAATGTTTTTTCTCAAATACAATCGTGATTCAAACATTTTTCATTCAATGCATGGATTCTTATCTAGAAGTGAGTTTTTTACCACTCTGTTAAACTAGGCTTAACTCAGAACAAACTTAGGCGGACTTTAACCGAGATTGTGATTTTCAGTTAACTTTTAGGTTAGTTATGGACATTATGTTATTTCAACTGAAACCGCAAACGATGTCAACATCGTTCTTATATCTGTCGCACAAGCCCTTTCATGAGTTGAATATGTTATACAAAATTTTCAAGTCAACTTCAATTTGAAAATAGTTAGAAATAAAAAACACGATATTTATTATTTAAGAACGGTGCAGTTTATACACAATCACTAACCATTGAATCTGCTGCTTAATTGTGATCACAGTTATGTCATCACCTCCATGTACAACATTTTTCCATTATCTAGCAGCTGTGAAATTCTCACCTTGGAGATTGTATTTAAATTTAGATGAATATTGGAGGGACAAGTTAATTATTAATTAAATATTTCGTACATTTAACAAAACACTCCAAACGATCCTAAGGAGAGTGTTAATCTTCCTGTCAAAAAAATGCTAAATTCTATGACGATAAAAAGTTTTCTTAATCTATAAACAAAGTACTAGCTGCATGAGCTTCGAGGTCCTCGTAATTGGTTGAAATGCAAACATTTACTTAGACAATTTGACTACTATTTTACTACGTTCGATTACGCCTTAAGGAGTTAAATAGTAGTTTTGTTTTAGAGCCACTATTGTTTTTCAAAAAAAAAAATCCTTATTTTTTTCGTTTGTGTAAAAAACTAAATATCAAGGCTAAAAGGTTAGTTATTTATAAGTCATTACTAAACTCCTGAGTAAAGTTGTGAAATGTAAGTTGATGAGTTACTTCAATTCATATCCATCTTTTTGCTGGGTAGTGTTAGTTCAGAAATTATACATGAGTGACGAAAAGTACCATCCTATTTAACTCTGCTAGCACTCACTCCATCATAAAACAATAAAAACACCCCATAGCCCCTTCAATTAAAATACTTATCGTTTTTATGTCATATATTTTATTAAAATTTGTAAAAAGTTTTATTGTGATATGTTTATCGCATTTTTTTAAATAAATTTATAAAAAAATTTAATGTAAATATATATAAACATATAAGAGTGTAAAAATTTGTTTTTGTTTATATAGTAAAATTGCAACTACAAAACATAAAATGGACAAAAACAATACTATTCACTTAAATACTAAACGATTTTATAATGTTGTCTTTGTAAAAATACAAACAATTTAGGCTATATGAAACATTATTAAAACAAGGCACAATGTTTAACGTTTTTTTCTTCGATTTTAAACTTAAAATTAATATTTAAACAACAAGTCTAAATATATATATAAATGGACGGTTTTAAAAATTTATAACGAACGAAATAAACTATAGTTATGTGCATACAAACAAGATTATTAGAGAATTAGAAATACAATTGTATTGTTGTGTATTTTATATTCAATATTAAAAACAGCAGGAGTTTATTTTAGTGTTTTTGTTGTTGCCGTTATTAAAATCTTAAGAATTTCTATAGTGTCCTTTTTTATGGAAACTTGAACAATAGAGGGTTCATTGTTTTTAGTTATTGGTCACTCTATAGATGATAAACTCTCCTCTGTTGTCTTTAGTCTGACGATGAAAAATGTGTGAAAATATTTTGAAACAAATATTAGACAACAGCCGTAAGTTTTTTTTGCAATTTTTTTTTTTTTTTGATATCAAATGTTTATAAAAAAACGCTTTTTTGAAATCATAAAAAATATGTGTATACGATTTTTTTTGCGAAATTTACTATGACCAAAACCAAGTGGTAAACTGGTTTTTTGCAAAAGGATCTTTTAAGGAAAATGTTTGTGGAAAAAGTTCTCAGGCTATGATAATAATAAAAGATGAGGATGATCATCGTCATCATCAAGGCACAACAACAAAAAGCCCGTTATAAAAAAAACTGAACGTAATGAAAAAAGAAACCCCGTCATTTTTCTAATAGAGGAAGTTCCTTTATTAATGGAAAAAAGGAAAGAAATCAAAATTAATGCACACATAAAGTAAGCAAAAAAAAAAAAACTTTATATAAAAATTCTTAACGGTCATAGCTGCGTGTTGTGGTGGTGACCATTAAAGAAGGGGTGCAAAAAACCCAAGTAACAACCCTCCTCTCACTCAAGGCTGCTGCTGTAGCTGTTGTGTGTACCTCCATCCAGTCAAAGTTTCTTTACTTGCAATGATTTCTCGACAATCTTAAGATACTTTGTGATATTAACAGGTTTCGTTGTCGTTTTTATTTTTCTTTTTTGATTGTAGCTTTTCTGTGGTGCTTATTATTGTCTACTAATGCTACACAGACACAGCTGTTCTTTCGTTCGTTAGCGTTCAAAACTTCATGGTTATTAAAAACAGATTTTGTAGTTTTCTAAAAAACTAAATTTGCTTGTTTTTCTCTCAATTTTTGCGTTATTTTTCAAAAATTTTTTGATTTTTTTTCCAATTTCCGTTTTGTGCTTTTTGTTGTTTGGGCAGTAAAAGCAACAGCATAAAACTTTTTTATATAAAAAAGAGTAATACGAGCTAAAGAGAGGCGTTAAAGGTTTTTTATCTTTTTTAACTATTACCTTTTCTATGAGAGTTTCTGCAGAGTGTGTATAATTTTGAACATGAGTTATATGATGCCTTGACAAACTTTTTAAAAAGCGTATTTTTGTTGTTGTTGTGTATTTATTTCGAAACACAAAAAAAGCATGACAAATAATGAGATTCATTGTAATAGATTGTGTCTACAACTTAATCGCTTTGGATAAATGATGACAATGTTTTTTCTATTTAAATAAAAATTCACAAAATGCTGAAAAATATACCAACAAGTTGCTATAAAATATTATTTTAAGACAGTAGAGTAGCCTCACATCTACAATCTATATAGTGTAAAGGAAGAAGACACATGAGTGACAAGTTTTTTTCCTTAACTCTTAACTGTTCTTGTTTAATATACACATACCTATAATTTTAACTTAATTTGTTATTTGAGATAATTGCTTATTTGTTTTTGGACGGATTCGTTTCTTACTTAGTTACTAAAATAAACTACAAAACTACACATGTCTTTTGCTTTTGTTTAACTCTTTTTTTTACTTTTGCCTAATGCAAAGAAAAGAGCAAATCATTTTACCTTTGTCTAAAGCTTTTCATCTGAACTTATATAGTAAAACCAGTGTTAAACCCAAAAGTGCAATGATTAATGAGGTGGCTGCTTGTATTGCTGAAGCTCCCGCTAAACGACATTTGAACATATCATAACGTGTTTCTTTGTCGGCAACAATATTTTGGAATTCAGCTTCCACCAATTGACCATCGTAATAGGTGATTAAATCTTCGAAAGGATATTCATAACCCTGTAGACATTCACATTTATAGCCACCCGTTTCATAGCCACGTCCCATGATAGGCACGCACTAGAATAAAAAAATTATGTTATAAGAAATTTTGGTAAATTAAATGATTTTTCCATTTTTTGGGGGAAAGAAACTTACATATGATGTTTTCTCATCACATTTGTGGGTATTTTTAAAGGCATTTGGCTCATAATACCAGTCTGGACATTGATTTATATCCAATTGCAACAAGTCCATGGAAACAGCTACCACACCTCTATAAATGCAAATAAAAAGAAAAATATTTTATAAAGAAAATAATAAATTGTAGTTTTTTGTAAACATTCTTGTTTTAGTGTTTAATTTTATAAAAAGTTTAGAAGATTTGTTATCTCTCTTGCATATCTACCTAATCTAATAAAGGAACATTTTTTAATTTCTTTAAATTTAAGTTAATGCTTAAAAATTTGTACTATTCTTTTTGAATTATCTGACAGAGGAACGTTATTGTATTTGACAGCTGTTTATATGCGATATTCGATAGAATAAACATCTTCCTATCAAATTAGTTGAATTCCTCACGAAAGCCTACTAGATTGTTATTTAATGTTGTATTTTTCTGTTTTTACGTAGGGATTATTAATAGATAATAGATAGATAGATAGATAGATAGATAGATAGATAGATAGATAGTAGATAGGATAGATAGATAGATAGATAGATAGCTAGATGATGATAGAAAGCTAGATAGATAGATAGATAGATAGATAGATAGATAGATAATAATAGATGATAGATAATATGATAGATAGATAGATGCTCGATAGATGATAGATAGTAGATAGCTCTCGATAGCATAGATACTCGTAGTAGATAGCTCGATCGACTCGCTCATTCGCTAGCTCGCTCGTAGCTCGCTAGCTCGCTCGATCGCTCGATAGCTGCTGTCGCTAGCTAGATAGTCTCGTCGCTCCTCGCTCGTAGCTTCGCTCGCTAATCGCTCGATAGACTGCTCGATCGCTCGCTCGCTCGCTCGCTCGCTCGCTCGCTGCTTCGCTAGCTCGCTAGATAGATCGATAGTTTAGGTATCATTGTAACCATTGAGGTGGGTATATTCAAGGCGTCTATAGCATTCAATAAATTAATTATTTTTATTGCTGTCCGGGGTAGCTCCATAATCATCTTGTCAATACCAAGTGCTTTCTTGGAGTTTAGTTCAACAATAGCCGAATCTCAATAGTACGAATCTCAAAACGTACGGGTACAGCTCTCAGAAGGTAGCTCTAGTAGATTGTTAGCATTATTTGGCGTAAATAAATGTTTCAAATGATCAGCAATCTTATATCCTTTTTCAGCATCGTTTCTTGCCCAACCTCCACTGATTTTTCGTAGAGATGGCTTACTTATTACTGGTCTTTTTAGACTTTTAGTAGCTCTCCATAAGAGTAATTCGGATGAGGGATAGCGTCCAGGCTTTCCAAATATTTATTAAGCGATTCCATTTTTCTGAATTCTAATTCTGTTTAAGATTTTTCGTGCATTCGTTAAGTTTTAATTTGAGTTGGGACGATCTATACAGTTGCCACTCTCTTCGTGTGAATGTAAGCTAAAACTTGGCGCAAGATATAAGTCGGCATAATTATTTTTCTATAATGTTTTTCAGTCCAAAACAATACTCTAAAAAATGTTTCCTAATTTTCATTTTAAGTTTATCAAAAGTTCTTTCTTATAATAAAACAAGTAGCTGTACTAAATTTTTTTATTTAACTTTTCCAAAAAAATCAAAATTCTGAGTATAATTGCTTTAGAAAAGAGCTTATTTTAGGCCAGAGTTTCAAATGTACATACCTCGAACATTTAATACGTTTTGTTCACATAATGCATTTGAAATAAAAGATCTGTAGAATATATTTCTCTTGATATAATTATACATATCGAACATAGGATACGATATACACTATCGGACAAAATAAAGTGCAAAAGTGCTCATGCTATATTATTTCAACGAAAAATCTGTTAAATGATTATTGAATATGGATTTTTTTAAAATTTATTTAGTTTATATACAATGCTACAAAAAGAACAATAAAACAAATTTATTCCACCTAAAATTTTTCTGTATAACTGGAATCTACTTAAGCCTTTTCTGTATTTTTTTACCATTATTATTCACAATCGCCTTCCCTTCCCCTCAATTGTGGTCTAAAATTAATCTGTTGGATTTAGGGCGATGCTCTGAGCAGTTCCAATTTTCATTCCAATTTTTCAGTGTTTTTTTTTTTTTTTTTTTTTTTCTTACAATCATGTTTTTAACCTTTGTCGTGTTTGAAATCATGAATCTGTTGAGGCATTACGTCTCCCAAGCCCATTTTTACACCATTTATTTCCAAATTTTTATTAAAAACGCTCGTGAATTGCTCATTTGTTTTTGTTTACTCCATTTTCACTAAGATTCTCGTTCCTAAAGTTGAATAATGTACCAATACAGATAGCCCTCCACCATTATGTTTAAAACCTGGGATAATGTTTTTCAAATTTTGTATATTGAAGGGCTTAACTCACACTCATTGTCGACATTTTAAAATTGGGACTCATCTGGCCAACTACGTAAATTTGAGCTAAAAATACAAAATTATATACTAAAATCGAAAAAAAAAAATTCCATGCTTTTAAATATGTTGGTGAAAGATTGAAGGTATGGGTCAGTTGACTCTTCGTATGTGTCCAATTTTTAAGATTAGTGCCTTCAAAATGGAATTCGGCAACTTTATATCTCGGAAAGATAATAAGCTTAAGCACTTGATAAAGTTAAAAAATAACATTACTGTAGGAAAGAACACTGAATAATTGGAATAAGTTGGTCAGAGTACCGCCGTAAATCCAATAGATTAATTTTGGACCACAATTGATCAAAAAAATTCCGATGAAATTGTGATTAAAAACTGATTTCTTTTGAAAATAATTATATGGGGAAAACAAGGGGAAGGGAAGGCGATTGCGAATAATAATGGTGAAAAAAATTACCAAAATGGCTTAAATAGATCCAATTACCAAAATAGATCCAAATATTCAAATCAGAACCAAAATAGATAAAAAATTTTGATATACAAGAAATTTAAATAATGATATATAAAATTTACACTTTATTTTGTCCGACAAAAAACTAAATTTACTTTAATTTTAGATGTTATACAGAAAAATTTTAAGTACAATAATTTAGTTTTATTGTTATTTTCAATAATCATTTAACCAATTTTTCGCTGAAAGAATATAGCATGAGTACTTTTGCACTTTATTTTGTCCGATGGTGTATGTACATATATTAAAAATTTTGATTCATAATACATAGATAGCAAACTTCTCCTAAGCATTTATAATAAAATTATGCAAGTTTTGGATCCCGAATTTTTGGTTTGCTTAGGTTATATATGGTAAATCTGTTATCATTCATTAAATTTTTAATATTTTTCAACATTTAAAGCAACATTTTCTGAACAGAAATTTTCAAACAACATCTCCTGTTGTTTAATTTTTTTATGCAATTTTTTTCTTTTACTCAAAAGAACTGTAGAAATCCTTGTATGTATTTTCAAAACTGGTCTCTATACCAAATATTAATGTAAATATATTTCAAAATTTCTGGTTTTTAATAACTTTAAAACGTTTTATCTTTAATGTTACTATAACATGTTAAATAAAAGTCATAAGTTACTAAAACTGTCATCACTATAGCAAAAAAAAAAAGAAGAAGAACGAACCCTCGATGAAAAGCATAAATTATATTAAACATAACTTTAAAAGATTATTATAACCCGCTGAAACTATTAAGACATAATCAAGACAAAACATTTGAAAACAAATTGAAATGTCCAAAGTAAAATAAAGAAACACGAATACAATAATAAATAAATGACCCCTTTTAAAAAAGCCCCGAAATAACAGATAACCTCTTAAGAAACACAACACGAACCAAATAAGAATTAATAAGAACAAGCCCGCATAAATAGAAAAAACTAACAATTTGAAGATATAGCAAAAAATAGAATAGATAAATAGAATTAGGGATGACTTTAAATAACAATAACAGAACAATACAATTTTCCACTATTTTAAATTTAAACAAAAACTACTTCACAGAAAAATACCCCTTTTTACTCTCTAACATCAGCAATATTATGATTGTGTTTACTTACTTGAATTCCAGTTTAACTTTAAGGCTATCCCAGCCGAAAAAGGGTGCTGCATAGGTCACAAGCCATTTCTTAACATAACCATTACAATCAAATTGTGGTTGTGTCCAAAAGCCATGTTTCAAACTTGCCGCACGATACGAATTAGGGTAGTGTTCATATTTCTGACTGTATTCACCTGTCTCATTGTGACGTATTTTGATTTTCATATAAAACGTTTCCAAATCATCAAAGTTCGTAGACCAGCGTTGTTTCAAAAACTTGAAATAACTTCTTTCGGTATACAGTTCATGTGTTTTATTCAAACGTGCTATATCTTCCACTTTAAATTTGCGTGTATTCAATTCAGTTTTATAGGCATAGGGTGCGAAATATGTACGATTGGTGAATTTATTACGTTCCCAAAGTGTGGCAGCCGACCAGACTTTTGTGTCACCCAAAACAATAGCCAATGTTTCACCAATCATTTGATCTTCAGTAAGTGGTTTATCGGCCACACGTTTACCCGAATATACTTCATTGGGATCAGAAACCTTTGTAGAAGTTCAAAAAATAGTTTAGTGTTTGTATATGATAAAAGCGTGAAAAAAGAAGAGTAGTTTTAAATAAAGCAAAGGGTTTTTATATCACATTGAAATAGAAAATAGTGTAGATAGATAAAACTAGTCTATAGAAGAGTGTGATATTATTTTTTTTTTTAATAGCAACTAGTTTTTCTTGATAATAATAGAGTTTTTGATTGTTGTTGCTAGAGAATCTCAATTTGTAAATTTAGGTTTAAATGTCGTTAAGTTTCCGTTTTTATCATCCTCATTATTATTTCTATTATTTCATACTTTTATTTCTAGTTTGCAATATTTGTTTAAAAGATTCTTCTAACAACTTGTGCAAATAGTTTTGCAAAAATATCTAGTTTTTCGTGTATTTTTTTCCTACAAATATTTCAATATTTTTTAGTAAGCGAAATATTTATTTGACACTGCATATTTAACTACCACAAAAACAAGTTGTTAAACATGAGATTAGGCAAACGGAAAACAAAAGAAGTTATTTGAGTAGATATTTGTTTTTAAAAGAATTTCTTAAAAAACGTTTTATAAAGCGTGAAAAATTTTCATTTACACTTCAAGAGTTTTTAGAGGAAGTGGTGTCAGCAAAAACAAGAAAATCAATGAAATTATTAACACTTCTAAACTATAATTAAGTGTTGAAATATGAAAAATATTATGGAAAGTGAAGGTGAGAACTTTTTTAGTTCTACCTAAAGTAACGTATTTTGAAATTTTAAATTAGTTTACAAAATTTACTTATATTGTACATACCTGCAGAAAAGCACTGATGAAGTTAGCAAGACGTACCGCCATTTTAGCTTCATTTTCAAATTGTTCTTTAGCGCCAAAACTAACATCACTGCGTAAAATTAAATCTTGGGGATGGAAACTATCATAAAAAGAAAAAAAATTATTATTTAAAAATATAAATTTAATAACAAAAACTTACTCTTTGCAAGTTCTATAATTAACACTATGTATAAATTTCAACGCTTGATCTATATTCAAATTTTCTGCATGTAAAGCTGTGGCACCGGTAGAATAATTACGATATTCTCTATGTAAATCTAAATATTTTTCACGCACATGATAGGGTGCTCTATTCCATTCTATGGGTACTTTTTGGATCCCTAAAATGGAAAAAAAAATAAACAAATGTTTTCGAGAATTTCTATTCAAAAACTTACAGCCAATTTTAAGACAATCATAATCATTGTAATATTGTTCTGCGGATGCTCTTTCTATGATTTCACCCAAATAGGGTCGCCTTACGACGTTAGGCAAACGATGTCCCGGTTTACAACGACATTGATAACCACCTCGCCTAAAGCCCCAGCCATGCAGCGGTTCACATTCAGTCGTTTCTTTTTTACATCGTGCAGTATCAGCAAAATGATTTGGTCCCTTGTTGCCCTCACCTTTCGGACATTGGTTAATATCAAGCCTTTCAAAATCCATTTCGAGTACGGCAATGGCAGTGTATCTGAAATAAATTAAATAAATCAAAAATTAATCTCAATTAACATAGTCGGTCCTGATTGAAAGTGAATGTATAAGAAGTTACTTCTTGATACTTTTTTGTTTTTCACTTGGTTTTTTTAATATTGAACATAGCTTTTGGTACTTTTTCATTCATAAAAAGGTACTATTTAAATTTAAAATTACTCACTTTGGATATTCAATATGTCTGAACTGGGTATGTCGGGGATATATATCAGCGATAGGAACTACAGCCGATACCAACCACTTGTTAGAACGACCACAATCAAAATACGGTCTAGTCCACTTAATAGGACCAGGATCTTCATCAGCTCCGGGCGGTCCATGGAATGTAAACGTTTCATTTGTATTATTAGCATAACGTATCTCAACCTGATATGTAGTCTTCGTGTCATGACGTCCCTCTACATCATCGGGTAGCCATTTCTTATACCATTCATTTATTTTATACAAATCTGAGGTATAATCCTGTGACACTGACTCTGGTGGATGGGCACCTAAATCTCGTACATCAAAGGTATTCCAGGTGGAGATCTTTTGTAAATGTATGGGATCATTAAAATCATCCAAACGGAAAGTTCTTGGTCCAAAACGAGGAAAAGTTTTATTGAAGAAACCTCTATACGAGGAAGTATACGAACTATTGGGAGCAAAATATATAGCTGAGGCGTTAATTGATGGATTCGCCGAGACATCTGCCACGGTAGAGAGGAAGTAGTACATCATTCCGGGATCATAAGTATCATTGATGGCAGGTCTTATAAAACGAGACTGTAAAATATAACTCCAAAAGAAACTTCTACTCAACGCCATGTTGTGCAGATGCAACAATGCGGTACGATTTGGAAATATGGGATTTATATTGATTTCTTTAATGTCTGGCTTATGAGACACTGTATCTTCCGGCAAGTACAAATCACTAACATGTTGTATGGGGCAATTGTCAGGATTAACTTTATCGTATTTTATTTTAATTTCATCGAAAGCATCACGGGCTTGCCACTCAAATTGGGCGAACACACCCACAAATAAGACCAAGACAAAAAGCAACAAGCTCCTGGCCAGAGCACTAGTTGCAAACATATTCACACACTTCTTGCTGCAGTGTTTGGAAAACAAACACTTGCGTCGTTTAAATAAAAATTTTAAATAAACACAAATTGAAATTAAATTAAAACAACAAGCACGCCTTTACAAATCTATTCTATTTCAATCGCAATTGACTAATTCCCAAAATGACACTTGTCGAAGAACTACGCCCCGAGGGCGTAGTTCGCCGCCGCCCATAACGGCGGCGGCGGCTGACACTAAAAATATCGGCGGCGGCTTAAAATCGACTGTAAGCCGGCTAAGTTCTCATATACGCTTAATTTTAAAATTTTCAAAGATTTTAAATAAAAACTGTATCCGAGAGATAAAAAAGTGGGACTTTGTATATAATTTATAACAATGAATTAGAGCAAGCACAAAAGTTGTGTGAGAAATTATGCAGGGATGGAAAAAATAAAAAAAAAAGAATTTAAAAATTGATTAATTGATTAATAAAAAATAAAAAAAAATAAAATAAAAAAAAGAATTTAAAAATTGATTAATTCTTAAAAATTAAAAACAAATCCTTTATTTTTGCCGCATAGTGTAATCTATATAATAAAATTTTGAATAATCTAAATAACATTTTAATTTGTTTTTTTTAACTTTAATTTTTAATACGTAATTAAAAGCGCCTCTCAAAGACCTTTCACATGATATCAAAATTAATTATCATACCTCTACGTGAAACATAAATGAAATAGGAAAAACTTTAAAAAAGTTCCTTTTTATTATTTGATCCAGATCACCAAATATTGGTCAAGGACACACATTTTGATGATGACAATTTATTTTCAATAGCTGTCGGCGGTAACATGGCAGCCAGCAAATCCATTACCATTATTTTGCAGACACAATCACACCCCGCAGCATTGTAAAATAATTTAAATTGTGTTATGCCAGTCAAAAGTGCTTGCCTTCTCGCAGCTTTTAGAGCAACGGTTCCAAAATGGGGGGTCGCGGACTGCTAGTGGTCCGTAGCAAAATCCTAGGGCGTCCGCGAAGACCAACGAAAAAACATGAATAAACAATATTTTTTTATATACTTATGTGAAAAAATATTAAAAATATCTCCAAATTTTTTTTGTTCAATAATCCCAGATTTTTGGTGACTTTTTGAATTTAATTTTTTTCAGTTGTTTATCAGGGCGAAGCTATGCCCTATACATTTACTGTATCACTTTTTTAAAGTAAAGTATTACGTGATTTGCAATTTTTATTTCCTGTATATGTACTGAAATATAAACCTATAATATTCTGCCTTACAAGGGATACTGGTTTCACTGTCAGGCCACATTTCCATTCCGACGTGATACACAGATTTTAACTTGATTATTAAATTAACATCAGAAAATCCATAGCGTTACGCGTAAAAATTCAAAACCACGCAGTGAATTAACCGAACCGTTCACGAGTACTTTCACAAAGATTTCAAGTCATATTTTATGCGTATAACTATTCCGCAACAACATCGAAGAATGTATCCTTGTGGTAACCCCTGGATACGGCAATCAGCGTCCGTACATTGCCTCTAGGTGATAATATACCATGTCACCACTAGCCGATCGACCACCACCCACCTAGGTGACTAGGGAGGTATACAATTGCCACTCTTTTGTGGGCATTCTTCCAGTAGACCATCATGATGCCTCCTCTTTCTTAAAAAGAAAGACTTTAATCTTCTAGATCTCACAAACAGGCCAAATCAATCAATATTAAAAAGTATTTACACTTAAATACTTTTTCAATAAACAATTATGTTATTTCCAATAATAAAATTATATATATTTTATAACTTTTTTAAAAAAAATCAAACAATTTCCAAACTGAACACGTTCTACGTTTGTTACAAACTCAAAATGTATGTAAAATGACAGAAGATCAAATACAGAATTTGCTAAAATTGGCGCGAAAACATGCGACTGCGCGCAAAAAATTGCGGAATTTTTCCTTCAAATAGATTTTGTTTGATGTTCCATTTAAAATACATTTGTTTGACGACCTAGGAAACTCTGGTTTGTCAAACAGCAATGTATTTTTCGTATCTCGTGTTTGCTACAAACACAAAGTGTTTGAAGTAAAAGAATGACTTGAAACAGAGTGGAATTGAAACCGAATGCTGGCTTAAAATGGAAACAAAAATATAAACAAAACAATTAACGTAGAGTTACCAGGCTGTAAGAATAAAATACTAATATTAACAAAATTTGTTTATATAATTAATATTGCCGTGTAATATATAAATTTCAAATTATATTTTTACATTAATATAACAATTAATAAACTAAGAAAACACGCAAAATTTGTTTTTGATTAAAATGTTACAATAGCTATTGCGCATGTTTTGTTTACGCTTGGGCAACTCTATATAATGTTTGTTTATGTTTATTTCAGCAAAGAAAAATTTAAATAATATAAAGTTGCCACAAATTTGGTATGACAAATATTATTATATTTGTTTATCAGATATTCTTGTTCATAGATTTAATTAATAATGTATTTGTTTTTACAACAATTTATTGAGAGGAAATATGTTTATGTACATATTATTATGCTTATTAAACACACCTCATCAACAAGTGTTTATGACGTCACACTTCGTTTCATATTGTCATGTTCCCTTTAAAAGTGATGCCATTTTATGTAAAATAATTAGAATCTAGACTGTTACCTTTAAATGATATTTTAGGTGAACATTTCAATAATTATAAAAGTTTCACTGTGTTCACAGTTCACTGTGAACATTAACAAAAGCTTTACTAATCAAAAATGCGTGAAAACTTGTTGTTTAGTTTTGAAGTGTATCGGCTTTCGAATAAACTCAAACCTCAATTTATGCGAGTTTGAATTAGTTCAAAATTATAAAATTTTTCTTTTCAAAACATTCAAAAATGTTCTGAACAAAGTACTACTACTGATTTTGGTGTTGTTTTGTTTATTTTTTATGATTTCAATAAAGAATTAAAAAAATTCAACCTGGTTTTCATTAGCATGTTTTAGAAATGCAAAAATTAATATTTATGTTTAAATTTATTTAACGAAGCATGGCCTGAACTGATTTTTTTACATTTTAAAAGATTCTAAATTTATTTCTAATCGTTTGATTTATATAATTTCCATAATGTATACAAAATTACAAGTGGGAAACGTTTGATGAACTTAAGGAAACTGGGTAATCCTAGTTTATTCTGATACTTTAGACTGATTAAATTTAATAAAAACAAAATACATATTATCAAGCAATTTTTTATGGTTATTTCAATTAATTAATTTGGTGTTGTTATTTAATTCTAGTATCCGTTAAATACAAAGAAAATAACAGTATCCGAAAGCGTTTTTTTTTTCAAAGTAGAAAACCGGGTTATTCGATATTCGAAAAATCAATATTTAGAAAAAACTGATAGTAGTAAAATAGAGATAACCGGTTTTAAAAACGATTCCATCGCCTTAATATACAATTTTATACATATATAAAACTCTTTAAAAATATCCGGAAATAAAACATAATATGGGTTTTCATTTAAACGTTCAAAACCTATGCATGTTTCCATTCTCGCAATTGAATTCTATGGAAATTCATTTGTACAACCCTTATAAGTTTGAGCGACTATTTAGACTAGCAAACTTGAGCAAACTCATGGAGCATTTAATAAATCCGTTCACTATTGTTCACTTTTGAATTTATGGACTTGAAAATTTACATTTTAAACATATTTTGTAAAATTTTTTGTTAAAATAATTTATTTTTTATTTTTTTGATTTCGTTTGACAATGTTTATAAATATTGTAATAGAACAAAATTTGAACAGGGGTTTCATAAAACAAGTCGAATAAACTTGCAAACTTGCACAAATGGGAAACTTAAGCGTTTAAATGAAAACCCTTAATGTTTTATTTCGGCCCATAAATTTAATTGTCTTATAAAATTCAATCAAATCAAAATGTAATCAAAATTTCATGGCATCTTGAAAATTTTTCGTGAATACCTATCCAAGTTTCTCTAAGAAAATGAAAGACGGCAACTCTTCACACCTGTTACTACAGCATTGCCAGCTAGAAAAAAGCGAGGGTGTTTTCTAAGCGTTCCTATGGAGTGAAACAATAACAAACTGAACCATTGTGAATGTTTAAAGAAAGAAAAAATAAAGTGTAAAAGCAAAAGATATATACGGTTTAATTTTAAATTAAAGCTTTTTTGTGGTGATTTTGTAAAATATGATTTTTAATAATTTTTAAAATGTTTATTAATTAATAATCTCAATTTATAATTGTTAAAATAGTGTATAAGTGTTAATAAATTAGGTGTGAATTTAAGGAACTGTAAGGTGTGCAGAAAAGACGCCATTAGACTTGAAAGCTAGAAAATTTATTCAAAAGCAGATAAATTTTTTATTAACAACGAAGGTATGTAGTTTATAATTATTTTCTTACACTGTGTTTATGAACTATTATTGCATTACAAGAATTATATCAAAACAAACTTACATTTCTAATGAAATCCTGGGCTTTTGTTAACTACTGCCTTAACCATGTAACGGCACTTGTTTTATTAGATGCTAGGGAAGGTATGCCTATAGTAGTGATCAAATTATGAACGTTTTGTTTACTTTTGCAATTTTTGTTGTTACTTTTAAAATTAGTACATAATTTTTGTTATATTTTTCTTTTTACTTTAATTTTCCCCTTTAAATAGTTGTTGTGTTTTACTTTTTCCAGGTTTTTTTTAAACCTTTTCACTATCGTTGACTATCAATCTTTATGCACTGACACTATCAATTGCACTTTTTTCTTCATCTTGTCCAAAATAAATGGCGTTGCAGCCGCACATTAGCGGTTTCTCTTTTTTGTATACCCTACTCCACAGTGGGAATGATATTGGCCAGTTACTTGTAACGCACAAAACTATTGTTCCTATACACACTTTAAGGAATATCTATGGATGCGCATCACGGAATAATTTATTTATTTATCTATAAGATAAGTTTTCTATAATATTGAGCATAGAAACATACAAATTTAAAGAAATTTGAGGTAAACCAAACTCTTTTTTGGAAATAAATCCCTTTGTTTTTTGCATTCAAACCTCTACATAATTAGATTTACAGATAGATAGATAGATAGATAGATAGATAGATAGATAGATAGATAGATAGATA